GAATTCTGATATCTTCCTTTGATTCTTATTTTCTTATTTTCCGTAAATTATACACGTATTTAATAAAATATACATTTAAGTTAATTTATCCAAAGGTGAACCCCCACGGTCTGGGAATCTAAGTTCTTGATACAGGGTGTTTCAAAAAAAGGTAATCCAACTTTTACTTGCTGATGTGTGTAAATTACTGAATAAATAACTTCAGTTTTAAATATTTAAACAAAGAGTTCTAGGTTCTAGCTATGGAATGCTATGTTGTTTGTTGCGATTTGGAAGGAAAATGAGTGGAATGCAAGCGCGTTGAAACATTTTGGTCAAAGTCGCATTCTTTCACCTTTGAGCATTTTTCCATCATCATGAAAGGTGCTTCACTTTGATTTTGCTGATTTGTTGACTGACTATAACATATTTCATGGCGATGTCTCATTTTTCAACCTTGACATTATTTGAAATTATCTGACATTTACAATTTGCATGATTCAGCAAAAATTGATACTCAAGGAGCCTTAATTAAACGTAGTTTAATAAATAATAAATTAATAACTACATACGTATAATATAGAAGCTACAGTGCATTAAAAATCCCACTCAAGAAACTTACTTTAAAAACATTTATACCTCCTAGCGTAGAGATCAATCATTGCCGCTGAATCATGCAAATTTTCAACACAGTACATGGAACCAAAAAACGATTCAATGGAAAAATTCCAATCACTTTAAGATAAAAATAAAAACTTATGGATACAATACGAAACTATCGGACTATATATGATAAATCGTGTCCAGAGTACAAAAATCAAAGAGTGAAATACAAATTAGTCTCTTTTTTCCAAACCGGCTCTCCCATCTTTGATGTATTTTGAAATGACTGTTAAAAGGGTCGCATAAATTGCTAATAGTAACGCTGTTTTTAAATTACGAAGCACTACTTTGTCAAATTCAAATTGCAGCTAAATTTTTGTGGTCTATCGGCGATTTGAATTATGTCATTGAAAAGCATCGCAGACATGCCTCAGGCCTGCCTCAGCCACAAGATCAGAAAGCATCTCGGGCTTGCCCTTAATAATGCCTCAGTTATGTCTCAGTCATATGTGAACCAGGCTTAAGAAGAAAACTCTTTATGTCGCTGTAAGGGTAAGGTCCGTTTCAAACGTCGCATTTACATGAACGGAATGCTTTAAAAACAAAAGAAAATGAGAAAAAAATCCTCGATATCTTTTGTTTGAAATGCATTCGGCTCATGTAAAATTCGACGTTTCAAACAGGCCTAAGATAAATAGTAAACTCAATGACATAAAAAGCACTTAAAAAATGGCGGTATTTTCCGAGAACTCGAATATTCGTTAACCGCCTGAACGTACATTTCGACATTAATGTTTGTCATTATTTAAAATTTTCTGATGAGGAACAGGGATAATTTTGAAAATATATAAGCAAATAACATAATGGTAAGGAAACATTATTTGCTTTTTAATTCATAGGTTAAAACGTTTTCAAAGGCAGTATTGAGAAATGTCTTCGACGACAATCGGGGCATCTCATTACTAAGATATAGTGTAATTTATATTTCCACTTTTTTATATACCATTCCCTAATTTTTATTAATTTAAACGTTTGTTTGTTCAGAGATTTGATAGTAGACACAAATGTTCGATAGACTAGTGAAACGCAGGCAATAGCGAGATGTTTTTGACATTATGCAGATACATAACATAGAAAATGTAAACAACAAAGTTGTAGTGGTTGTATTGGCAAAACCTTGTTATGGTGTTTTGTTTTGATACCCAAAGTTTTGAGCTCCCACTCATTTTTGTCAGATTATATCAATTATACTGGTATTTTGTAATTGTCAATCATAAAAAAGCAAATCCTTACGTACTCATCGAGCGCCTATTTTTTACAAATTATCATTGTATAAAGAATGTTTCAATGATACATCCTGTATAATTATTAAAAGGAAAGTTTAAAATGTTATAAGCACATTAAACAAACAATTGTCGAATGCGTCAGCAACCAACCTGGTGAAACGGTAAATGAATTGAAGAAATAAATATTTTACTAACATGAAAGTCACTATTTGTTATTCGGCTTATTTTGATATCTATGTTGCATGTTTCGTTGTTTGTTTGTCTATGCTTAATTAATCTTTTGCTTGCCTTTATGCGTCTGTTGATATCGAAAATAATGAGCTACAATGAAACAATGTTAGTGGTCCAAAAACAAAAGAATATTTTACGAATAATAGAAATGACATTGTTTAGTATATCCAAAGAAATTAAGTCAATTGAGCAAAAAAATATTTCTTGTGATCATTTACGTACATTTATACCTGTATTAGATGGCAATCCTTAAAAGAAGAGCGAAATGGTGATCCATTATGATCCATTATAAATTACTGGAACTCCAAAACTCTTTACATTTGTGCTATAAAAATATGAATGTTTAAATAACAAATTTTAACTATGGGCGGCCAAAAAAATCACTTAAATTGTATAAACAAACTATAACTCGCCCCATTCCATCGTAACAGACCGTGCGCGGCACACTTTGTATTGATTCATTGTATCTATATTATATATTTACGTAAAAAATATATATTAATAAATAATAAAAACAAACACAAAAATGAATATATAATATAGATACAATTAATCAATACAAAGTTTGAGGGGCACGGTCTGTTACAATGGAATGGGGCGAGTTATCGTTGGTTTATGCAATTTAAGTGATTTTTTGGGGCGCCTTTGGTTTAACCTTACAAAGTTAAATCTATAACAAACGTGTTTCCCTAAGAAAATGCTCTAGTGAAAAATGTGAAATCTCTATTTCATCAAGATTTCAACGATGATAATATACCATCAACGTTTGGTGGTTATATTGTGTACCTCTGACTGACCATAACTTTCTTCAATTGTTTTTTGAAAGTCTCTTAATGTCATTCCATATTCAATATTTGTTTTTAACTTCTCTAGTTTGAACATAACAGGACAATCCAGTGATATACAGCTCAGTTGCTCATCTCTAGCTCCACAACACTGAAAACATATCTACAATATGAAAAAAAATTAAATGTCATGAAAAAGACAAACCATAAATATTAGGTTATTTATTATGCATATCTCCTTAAGATGACTGTATTTTCTTTCCCAGTTTCCCACTCTACTTGCCAGAATAAAGACAGACTTTTGAGGGCTCCTACGATAACTTTAACACAAACTGTGCTGTGTTAATTGTTCACATACAGGACAGTGTAGAGTTGTAAAAAACCGAGAAAACGAACGCTAAAATTTGTTTAAATAAATTAATTTAGCTTTTACATCAATTCATGAATGTACTTATGACAACTAACTTTTTGTTTCCTGGCTATAACACGATGTCGAGGGATATAGCGGGGTAGATGTGTATACCATGAAAACACATCAACACCAATCAAGGAAAAAACTCGAGCCAATGGAGGAAGTATTTGTTTCTGAACATAGTAGATGGTATTCAGACGTAGATTTTTATCATTTAACACATCAATAGGACTGAAGAAAATTAAAACAAGAAGATTGTTTAATGAAGACAATCATATTTATAATAAAGTATTTATTAATAACATTCCAACAGCTTTTGTCATGATACATAAAGTAAAATAATGAATGACAGCAACATTTGAACTTACTCTTTAACCAATTGAATCAATGATAGTCCAGGACTGCCGTTAACAATGACGTAAGGTACACGTTCTCCCACTCGAGGTTCCGCGCGACGATCACGTGACAAATGACGTTTATACAAAAATAGAAATAGTAAATCTGTAATCATGACAACAATATAAAGAGGATTTTTCATTTCAACAATAAAACGAACCTTGCAATTTCTAAAGCTGGAACACATGCTTTTGGTTTATATCTTTTCATACCACGATATTCCTTAGCAAAGATGACAACATGAATCGATACTCTATCTTTCATCATTTCAACGAACTGCCGCTGGACAAACTTCTTCACAAGACTCACGTCTCTTTCTTCAAATAAAATCCTTAAAGACTTCTTTAAAATCTGTTAGAAAAATAAAATCACAGACTGCTTTGAACTTAAAATTACCCTCCCCACCTGCAGAATCTTGGGTGATTGGATGATACAGTAAATATTGTCGATTGTTCCATACTTTAGCGACCACTGGACATGTATCTCGCTGTACAGTCTCTATTCCTTTCGCATCAAATACTGGATCTTTCTGTTCTAATGTTTCGTACATACAACCAACGTAACGTTTCTTTGTTTGAAGAACACAAGGCATGTGTACCTAAAAATCATCCCTAGTTATACATAAATGTATCTTAAAGTCCAAATCTCTCAAATAGATACAATTTTACAGTAGATAAAAACCTTTTCAAACTTTAGTTTCACAGGATGAGACGCTTTCTCTAATGAATACTGTAATGTATAATTGAACTTCCTCAATACCATCAAGATTTATATCATAAACTGTCTTTAAACTTAATTCAATTATTGCGTGTTTTCCTTAAAATCTACAAAATTTAAAGCATATTGATGACTCTAAGTCAGACGTTCCATGGCGTTTCTAATTACATTTTAGTAAGTAAACTTTCATATTTCTTCCGTTTTTGTTTTACAGTAAAGTAACAGAAAACAAACAAATACAAGAACAACTAAAATTCAATAGCGTGTTTAACGTCATTTCTGGTATTTTAACTTCCATATTTTGATTTTGAATAAATGAACTAAATGGAGAATTGTTTACATACCACGTATGAATATGTTGTTTTGGTAGAAAGCATCGTTCTGAGTATCTGACTTGAGATTGATGCCAAGATCTTGTGGAATGTGAAGATATGATCTTCCATGATAGTCATATGCACTTTAACTGAAAAATAATTACATTTGGTAAAGTTTAGGAAAATACAAGAAAGTATGAAAATTTTAACTTACTGTGTAATGTGGATTTCTCTTCTGAAGGTTTCATATCATCTTTCTTTGATTTGTTTTTCTTCAATAATTCATACTCCTCAAGGATTGTTGACTCTTCCTGTATTCACAAAGGTAAAATGCCAGAAAAATATTTGTTAGACTTGAAAAATATCTTTATAAACTCTTTATTTGGGTAATTGAAATACCTCAGATGGTTTAGCAATAGTTTCTTCATCAACAAACTTACTTCATGGTCCTATAGGATAACAGAGAATAAGAGATAGTAGGACAACCTTTCAAAAGTTATGATTATTGTAGTAATCGTACCCTTGTATCCATCATTCACACCAGGATCTCCCCTATCCTCTCTCTACCTCTTATCTCCCGCCCACTGTTTTGTAGCTTCAAACACAGTCAATCCCTTGCTATCCTTTGCTTTCTCAACATCCCCAACAAATCTTAATGGATAACAATTGATATAAACATAAAACCTTACCAAGCCTATTTACTAATAATTAAGAGCCATGTACTACATTATGTTTTTAAGGTAATTTCATGACAAAGCACATTCATCATAATCCACTGAAATAAACATTTATCAGCTTGAATCATTTCAAAGTAATTGAGTGATATAATATTTCAGCATTATTCTATTTCAGACTTGATGCATTCACTGAGGAACATGTTTGATGTAGGAGTGTTTAATACCCTCTACATATTGTATAAAAAGTTAGTCCGGAAACTAATAAAGGCTGAAAAAGTTGGTTTGTAATGGGTTTTAGTATCAATCTACACTACAATAAATCCTCCCCCACAATGTAAAACACATATAATTTTAGAGAGATGTGCGTTCCTGCACTAACATGACTATCGTTGAAGATGTATGCTATATCAAAGTTATGCTATAAGCACATTGTAACAATATTATATACATATATTGTAACTAACTTCTCTTCAATGTGAGCTGTGTCATCACTTGGATCTAATGCATAATTTGTGATTTCTTAAAAACAAAAAGATCACACATAACTCATTAACAAATACATTTTTTCTCAAACTATGCTTGCTTTTGCTCTTACCGTAACTTGAGAATGTTTTTAGTTGATTATCAAATTGAAATTTACTGATATGAGCTGGCCCAACATAGCCAGACAACATATTTTTATGTGCTCTTTGCTGCTTCGTTTTAAACGGATTTTGAGGTCCAATCTAAAATAGTAGACTTCTTCAAAATCATGATTTTGTCCATGTGCATGTAAATGGTGCAAATGATCAAATTATTTACGTACCGAAGCAGAAAAGAGTATGTCATACTTTGCATTAAATGTAACTTCTTTCATTGAAGGATCGATGTGTCTTCTCCAATCAATTCCTTCCTTTAAATCATAGCTAATCGTATCATATATTTAGCCTTGATGTTGATAGTTGCCTAGTTAGGACTTTGGATAAAAACTATTACACTTCACCTTAGCATCAACAATTGGCGCGCTGTTTAAAAGAAACTTAGATTTTAGAGTATCCATTCTGACAGTGCTCTCGATTGACTTTTCACCTGTTTTAGATTTATCATTATTACTTCTCTCTTCATCAGAAGAATCACTTTGATAAGACACCAATGATTTAGGACTTGTAGCTAAATCGAGAGATCGGAGCACAGAAGTCATATTGAAATTTGTCACGTGAAACGTAAACTGAAAGATAAATGTTAAATGTCACCATCGTTACGCGCGCGAATTGTTTTATCGTCTTGCCGCGAAATATGATTTTACCCTCTTTAACTTTTTTGTAAAAAAACATCATCGTATGCGCATTTTCAACTTTCTTGTTCTCCTTCCATTGCATTGCTCTATAATAAAGCTAAATATCTTAACGTTTTAAGTTCTTTATTATTCGTGAAAAGCGGTATGTGGAATAACAATACGAAGGTATTGCAAGTTTAATTGCTTCATCACACTAAGCATATGCACATACATTAACTGAATTGCAAACACTACTTTCGCTGCAGAGTAAGTCAGAATACATGAAACTTCTTGACAACTGCCGTATAGGCAATATTTTGGAAATAATTGGTAATAATTATAACAATATCAGCAGTGTTGTTATTATAGTATTTTAAATTTATAATAAGCTACTACACATAAACATATTCTGACTTACCCCGGAACTTCCACTGCATTGCACTACTTGCAAATTTTATGCAGGTATTTAGGTTATTTAGTTCAGACCTTTGCAGTGCAATGGGGATGAGGGTGCAAGGCAACAAGAATATAGGCCCTGACATGACATAGGATTAAAGTCTGCATTAAAAATTCATAATATAGAAATGGAAATTAGTTTTGTTAATTATATGTACATAATTTATTTGGAGGTTTTGTCTCTCAAAAAAGCTTCAACAAAGATAGAGCCCGTACTGAGCAAACTAACTAGAGGTCAGGCTTTTGAGTCTTTGTTGCCAAAGATTGAGAAATGGTTTACCAAAGGTGTAAATTGCAGTACAGATGATGATTCAGTTGTTGATCCTTGCCATGTAACATCTATGCCAAGTATGGACCAGTTGCAACAATGGAGAAAAATAGTTGAGGCATCAAGTACAAGCAAAGGAGCATGTATCAACACATCACAAGGAAGGTTAGATATCAATTGCATCACCAATCTGCAGAAATTTCACACCTTAAAGAGCATACAAGTAGAAGTCGAAGAGGAGTATGCCTGGTTTTCACAACCATTGAACAAACCCAGACACGGTGGTGGAACATCCATCAGCTGCTTCAATTACAGCCTTTCAGAAGCTTTTGTACAGAACCCCGTATAGTGAGATTATGAAAGAACGAGGATTGTCATCCAATGAGATGTCCAGGTTATGTGTTGACAGATGGGTGTCAAGTGACCACATATGCTGGTTGACAACAAACCTAAACCAAAAAAAAACAGATACATATTATGTGTACCTCAATGGAACAGAACCACCAACAATAGCCCAACACCATGCTAAATATGAATTCATTTCAAAATTCTGTTCTGCCATAAATGTTGGTAAAAAAGCAATGGCAAAACATTCCTTGGAGATGATTTGCACCCCGGAAACCATTGGGTACTTTGCTATGTAGACACTAATGACAAAAACATTACATATATGGATTCAATAGGCTGGCAAATTCCGAACACTCTTCTACACATTTTAGATAAATTCATCAAGGCACATAATATTTGCGACAGCATAGCCAACTACTCAGTAACAATGACACATGATCTTGATAGCAGATGCCGGGATAGAGGAGGACACAAGTGCACAGACAATTGTTCAAAAGCATATCCATTCCAAACATGTAGCAATGTTTGTGGCGTGGTTGTAATGATTATGATGGCTATATCAAGCTATAACTATGCCTTTTTCGAGAGCATGCTATCATTTTCTAAGCCAACCACAAAGAATATTCCATCAATATACCAAAGCAATCCCACACATTACAGCGCATACTTACAGATTGTACTTGGATGTTGGATCTCAGATAATGTTGTTAACCTGGCATATGTTTTACCACAGTTTTGGAATACACTACAAAAAGGGATTTTACCAGAAAATGAAAACACAGCAACAACTTGTAAAATTTCCAATAAATAGAGCATCAAGAGACTCAAAGTCACACCATCAGTCTTCAATAAAATGGTGAAGGATAAAATCATGCAATGTATTTGAGTTCAATGATGCAAATGATGCAGTCAAAAAGGTGTTTGAGATAGCATTGCTAATGTTCTTTTTACTAAATTGTCATTGTTAAACAAGTAATACGAATATACTCACTTTGGGACAAGTAGGACAGAAATTTCCTTCATCAAGCTCAGGAATAACACAGCTCAACATGTTTAGTTTATGTCTGTAAATTTTAAAAACAACAATGACACAAAGAAAGCTATTATGCACTCTTAAACAAATGACATCAACAAAATACAGTGCAAGACAGTAATACTTGAAGAAAAAACCCTTTCCCATCATAAACTTTAGCATTTGGATTTCCTCCAATTAAATACATATCTTAAGATGAGATTCTTAGGCTATAAAATTGACTGCAACTTTCTCAGCAATTCATACGTAGTACAGCAGTGCAATAAATCAGTGACCTACATGCAGTTACCTATATTCTTCAAAAGCATCTATAATGACAGGATACATTTTTGATGTTGCATAAGAAGAGAATATGTGGTTATGATTAAACTCTTCAAATGACTGACAAATGCTTTTTATTGATGCCTGGCATTCCATCTGCACAGAATGAATCAATTCAAAAAACTCAATTGCAAATGCAATTCTTGGTTTTGTAGGTGTTCCACCCCAAAGGCCAAATTGCAGAAGTTGAACAAACTCTGGAGAGCACGAGCAAAACTGTACCTCAACAGTACAAAAGGTGCCTAAAATTTGAAAAAGATCCAAAATTATAATTGTGTTGAGCCATCTCAGCTAAAATGAAAAAACTTTTGCAGCACATTTTATATATAACATACCTTTAACATCAACAACAGAAATATTTCTTTTGTGACGAGCTGTTTGGCATGAACAATCATACACCAGCATGTTCATGAGTTTATATGGCCAAAACATGCCATCCTACAAAGCAATGAAAAATTAATTGTAATCAATCCCCTTTCTTGCATTCATAAAAAATATTAGATTAGTGCTTCGTAGCATGTTTCACAATGTAAACTCTCATTTTATTTTTGCATTTTTTGTTGCAAGTGTTGAGAGAGTTAACTGTAAACACTTTTATAATATCTAGCTCATAAAGGTTACTTTAAATATTTCAACATGATGACAAATATTTACGTGTGTGCATGTTTAACATACAGTTCTCACAATACTTTGCCATTGGACCACAATTGCTGCACCTAAACTTTGCTTCATTATCACAATGAATACACTTCAGATTGCTCCAATTTTTGCCAGCAAACTGAAATGTATTCTTTATAATTGAATGTCAAAAATTTTCCCATGCTTTTTGTTTTCTTTTAACTTTCTGGTAATAAGAAGATGATTCTTCACAATCATGGTGAACATCACTTTCAAGATCACTGTTATCTTGTTCCATTCCCAGTTCATGGCCTTCCAATGCACCACAATTATCAGGACTGTTAAAAGAACAGCTTACTCTATGATCCTCAGTAAACAATTCTGAAAAATGCACCTCCTCTCTCTCAACATGGCCATCCTCATCATGATATGTGACAGCTACAGTTGCTTTAAACCTTTTATTGCTCCTACAAAAATTATCATAAAAATCTATAAAATGAAAATAAATGTTGAAAAGTCTAACAGCTATAAGGCCGTTATTTGGTGTACCTTGGCATCTTTTAAAATTACCAGCAAGAAAATCACAAATCAGAAAATATTATCGATATTACCAATGACACAATAACATAAGTTAAACGACCAAAGTACAACGTATGTATCTCCCACGACTACCAGCCGATGTTTTGTACCCGTACTTTACCGGCTTTTAGCCACGTCTCATAAGACGAATGGGGTGATTTGTTTGATGTTTGTAAAATGTTTGTAAATGTAGATCGTCCAGGTTGGTATAGTCCTGAGAAGGACTGTTTTTGTTGTTGTTGACTGACGTTTCGACAACCTTAGCGGTAGTCATCTTCAGAGTGATTTGTTTAGTTGCTAAAACGAAGGGGTTTTTGTTCCGGTATATTGTAGGAGCCTTTTTCCTAGGGGTAGGGGGTAACATATCTCACGTGACCGGAAAGGTAAATCACTTAAATTATTTCACAGAATCGACTAGAACGCCGCACCTGAGATATCATGTAGTTGGTTGTGTCTTGTAATCTTTCTGAATTTGTGAAGGTATGTTGATTTTAAAGTTTACCTTTCGTTGTTATATTGTATTTTGATTTTGTGATTTAATGTTTCATGTCCATTTATCGATTATTTTGTTTTTCTGTGAAATATTCTACTTCCGCGCTATGTACGTATGTAAATGTTTTATAAATATAAGTTTGTTGATTTTGGTGATATTTTGGAACTAGCTCGAATCAATTTTGGAAAATTAACTTGTTAACTTTCATATATCTTTATATAATAATAAAAAGAAATAAATTTCTACTATATAATAGTAATGTTCTACATCGATACACATCATGTGCATGGTCACGAGGTAGTAGAGGGAATAAGATATTCATGGATAATTTCGTAAAAGCACTATTGCTAATGCGCATTTAATATACACGACAAGGTTTTTTAAAACAGACATGTTTCGACATCTCATGATGCCATCTTCAGTATGAGTGAAATAATAAATGATACAAGGTTTATATAAAAGTAATATGATACATAAATTACAACAATAAAAAGGAAACAAGATAAATTAATGAGGAGCGTCCGAGCGTATTATAAACTAAATATCGTATTGAATTTAAAAACTTGAACATTGAGGTCAGGGTTGAGAACATTGAGTTCAAGTTTTTAAATTCAATACAATATTTAGTTTATAATACGCTCTGACGCTCCCTATTAATGTAGACTAGTTTGCGTTGCAATTACCCTTTCTGGGTTGTTAGCCGAGTGGTGAAGATTTTAATTTCTTAAAAATGAAAAAAAACAACAAAACAATAATTCAAGTTTCTAGTGGGCAAGGAAGAACAAGTAATATTGTGATGCTTATCATAAACCACATTACACCATATCATAGAACTTGTATGAGATCGTGGACAAGTATACTCGTAGACTCAAACTTGTAGACACAAAAATACAAATATAGCAATGACTAAGAGTAAGGCTCATGAAAATACTGCAATTCTGGGAGTATTATAATATAAAAAACATGTCATTAAAATCAATAATCAATCTACGTAACGTTACAACACGAAGAATGTACAAATCCGCCAAGGTTAAACTGGGAAGTTAAAAAATTGAAACTATTCATGTTGTGATAAATATTTCAAAAGTTTCCAGTGCAGAAACAATTTTTAGGCCATTTCGCAAGTGACTGACGTGGTGCAAATTTCGTGCCCTCCACTCGCAAAATCCTGGCGACGCCACTACCAAAATGTAGCCAAATGCCTAAATGTAGGAAAACTAAAATGTCCAATTGCGTTGTTTTCAGGTGCCCTCCTCGATAATCATTTACACGTACAAGTAAAACTGTAACATTACGTAGCTATGTTTGATATTCAACAATTTTAGTTGTCTATAAACTCTAAGTAAAGAACCAATTTACGATAATATTAATAATTTTATGATCTTTAGATGCAGTCAAGGGAAGAAATTAATAACTCCTCTTTGCAGAAAGTACTTACAGATGTTGAAAAGAAACTTGTTGATCTTTTTATCCAAGAATGGAACACTCATTACAAACAATCTCTTGGAGAATGGGAAAATACAAACGTCAGTGGTCAGAAATTGTTCAACATTGAAAGATCAAAAAAAATATTTCGTGATGAAAAAATATTGTCAAAACTTAAAGATGGTGACACAAGTAAGTGGGATTGCACGACAATATGTAAAGCAATATTGTTTACCCACTCAATTGGAACAAAAATTGATGATAAAGTTAGAGCTGCTGTGGACAAACTTCGTGATGTAAGAAACAAATTCATCCATGAAAATAAAGGAAAAGTTTCTGATTCGAAATTTCATACAATGGTTTGTGATATTGAAAACTCATTTCAAGATTTAGGATTTTCGTTCACTGAAATTATCAAAATAAAAAGTGAACGAAACATATTTTATTCTTTTCAAGTACTTCCTTGCAAAGCAAATCACGATGTGGTTGAACGTACAGAATTACTTAATCAAATCACAGCAGATCTCAATAACTTGCGCAGTACTAACAATAATGAACTAACATATTACTATATTTCTGGTAATCCTGGCAGTGGTAAATCTCAATTAGCTAGACAAATTTGCGAAGAATTGTGGAACTCGTTTGACTGGGAAAAGAATACGACATTTGTGATGACACTCGAAGGAAAAGATATCGACTCTCTTTTGAAAACTTATGCTGAACTTTATCAACGATTAAGCAATGATAAAACTGTCATTGAAAATATTCGAAAAGAAGCAAAAAGCAGCGAAGAGAAAATTAAAGATTTTCAGTTATTGCTGACACAGCAACTGAAATCTTGGCAAACATGGTGGATTATTCTAGATAACGTGGTTGAACTTTATAAAATTTATCCATTATTACCTCAAGTTGGTGATCATGGCTGGAAAAATGGTCAAATTATAGTAACTGTTCAAAATACAGATGCTATACCACCAGATGGAAATCTAAATAAACACATTTCAGTTAGTCATGGTATGAATGATGAAGAATGTCGACAACTTCTATCTGTCTTTTCTGATATTCATAACAAAGATGAAAAATTTTTAAAGGATTTATCAGACAAATTAGATCGTCAACCGTTGTTCCTCGCAAATGCTGCTTCCTACGTAGGTGATGTAAAAAGTGCAAATCCTACATTCACCTGGGACGAATATTTGTATAAGTTGAATGAAGGAAAGCGTCAGAAAATGGATGGCAATTTTCAAAAAATGAACTCAGCTTACTTAGGAATGAAAACTGTTATGTTAGCAGTTCAAAAAAATGCTGAAGAATCCATCTTGTTGGAACATGTTTTTAAACTTTTCTCAATAATATCTTTCGATCCGTTACCAAAAGATGTTATAATACAATTTATTAAAAGAATTGATCCAAAAATATCTGCAGAAGATGTCTGTCTTCAATTAAAGCATTGTTCTTTATTCCTTCAAACGGAAAACAACGACATCCGCCTGCACAGCGTTGTACAGGAAGCCATCATAAATTATTCATCGCAGACCTTTGGCCGTAAACATAACGAAAATAATTCCTCTGCAGCTGATCTTGCCTGTCAAGTTGCTTGGGCACTGAATCATTTTGAAGGCAGAGAAGATGAAATCAAAATAATTCCACATCTAATTAAATTCATAACAAATTCATCATTTCAACATTTCCTAAATAAGTTGATCGATGTAAAATCAAAAAAACTTGTTGAAAGAAATTGGAAATTTGCCAAATATTTTGTAGATGTTTTGGAAAGATTTTGCAATTATAAACTTGCAACTAAAGTACTTTATGAAATAACAGAAATTCAAACTAAAGTGTTAGGTGTTGATCATATTGATGTTTCATATTCGCACAACGAGCTGGGTTCATTGCTTTGGAAGAATGGAGAGTACGAAAAAGCAAAAGATTTTTATGAACGAGCGATAGAAATTCAAACAAAAACATTTGGACCTGACCATGTTGATATTGCTACAACGTACGACAATCTGGGTTCAGTTTACAATGATATGGGAGAGTACGAAAAAGCAAAAGATTTTTATGAACGAGCGATAGAAATTAAAACGAAAACATTTGGACCTGACCATGTTAATATTGCGACAACGTACAACAATCTGGGTTCGGTTTACAATAAAGTGGGAGAGTACGAAAAAGCAAAAGATTTTCTTGAACGAGCGATAAAAATTGAAACGAAAACATTTGGACCTGACCATGTTAAAATTGCGACAATGTACAGCAATCTGGGTTCGGTTTACAATAATATGGGAGAGTACGAAAAGGCAAAATATTTTTATGAACAAGCGATAGAAATTCAAACAAAAGCAGTTGGACCTGACCATGTTAATATTGCGATAATGTACAACAATCTGGGTTCGGTTTACCGTAAAATGGGAGAGTACGAAAAAGCAAAAGATTTTTATGAACGAGCGATGAAAATTCAAACGAAAGCATTTGGACCTGACCATGTTAATATTGCGATAATGTACAACAATCTGGGTTCGGTTTACCGTAAAATGGGAGAGTACGAAAAAGCAAAAGATTTTTATGAACGAGCGATGAAAATTCAAACGAAAGCATTTGGACCTGACCATGTTAATATTGCGACAACGTACAACAATCTGGGTTCGGTTTACGATAATATGGGAGAGTACGAAAAAGCAAAAGATTTTTATGAACGAGCGATAGAAATTCAAACAAAAGCATTTGGACCTGACCATGTTAATATTGCGGTAATGTACAACAATCGTCATTTGGTTATAAACAAACTATAGATATTGAAACTGAAGCATTTGGACTTCTATTAATGAATTTGTAGCTCATTTTCAATGAAGAAGATAATCAATTTCTCTTTTCATTTTAGGTATGTCTTCTTTGTACTAAAGCTGATTAGAAACGATCGTGACTAAAACACCACACGAGTACATACGAGTACATACTAGTACATACGAGTAACATACGAGTGACATACGAGTGACATACGAGTACATACGAGTGACATACGAGTATATACGAACAACATACAAGTACATACGAGTAACATACGAGTACATACGAGTAACATACGAGTACATACGAGTGACATACGACTATTTTCTGGTCAACAAATGAGAAACAACACAATTTCTTCAATACATTGATATTTGCGTTTATTTTTCCTTGTATTTGTGTGGACTTTGGGGCAACCATTCGATGGATTTAAATGCTGAAAAGGTATTTTACTTCCATACTACATTCATTTGTATGTTTTAGTTGAATTTTTTATAGATATTTTGTCGATGCGATTTGCCAGTATTTGAGCGCTTTTTGACACATGTAAACGTTTTACGTAAATGTTGATATTCAAGAAATAGCGTAAGATTTGTTGTTTATAGCTATAGTTTTAATTCAGTTTAAATATGGTAATATTTTTTAGAAAACAAAGTTGATTTTCATCGTTGATTTTATTTTAAAAAGTGTAGGAAGTAAAAATTGCAAAACAGATCGGAGTGAGTATTTACAATGGCAAAACAGTTAACTATACTTAGCCATTCGGTGAAATTCGTGCATTTTGGATCCTTATCTATAAAGTAAATGGTTTGAACCCGGGAGTATCGTTACATGTTTGTAAATGTAGGTCGTCCAGGTTGGTATAGTCCTGAGAAGGACTGTTTTTGTTGTTGTTGACTGACGTTTCGACAACCTTAGCGGTAGTCATCTTCAGAGTCAAAATGAATGTATAATCGCTTTCATAAATATGTATTTCCTAGGTGAAAGTGTGTCAAAAAGCGCTCAAATACTGGCAAATCGCATCGACAAAATATCTATAACAAATTCAACTAAAACATACAAATGAATGTAGTATGAAAGTAAAATACCTTTTCAGCATTTAAATCCATCAAATGGTTGCCCCAAAGTCCACACAAATACAAGGAAAAATAAACGCAAATATCAATGTATTGAAGAAATTGTGTTGTTTCTCATTTGTTGACCAGAAAATAGTCGTATGTCACTCGTATGTACTCGTATGTCACTCGTATGTACTTGTATGTTACTCGTATGTACTCGTATGTCACTCGTATGTACTCGTATGTACTCGTGTGGTGTTTTAGTCACGATCGATTAGAAACAGTTGTATTGTAGATTTCTTTTATTGTCGATTTCAGTTAACTTTTCAAATGGCGGTTGCCAAGTTACTTTCTAATGTTGCCAACTACATTTCCAAATATGGAATATTCGTTATGAACTTGTCAACTTGAGTTGACAAGTTGTGTACTTGAGTACTGAAGTTGTGTACTTGAGTACTGAAGTTGTGTACTTGAGTACTGAAGTTGTGAACTAAAGTTGCGAAGTACTGGCATACGCGAAAGGTCTTTGTACCCTGTAGACATTTGGCAATGAATCTGTTCAGTAAGCAAGGAAAAGCTTTAGCAATTCTAATCCGTTTGACGGCCCTCTTAGAGTGTTATAATGCGATACGCCGTTCACATTATGTAAAAAATTTACAGTAAATGTGGCACTAGAAGAGTATGGTTGGATTTTAAATGCAGGAGTACCCTGCATACTGTGCCCTCGACGTCTGTTGCCGCTCGTAACAACTACAGGCGACTCATCAAAGAAATGCATACGGTTGCATTCAATCAATGAAATATTTGCTACGTAAGCTTCTAACTTCTCCATAACGTCCGGCCGTTCTGTCTCTCGAGGAATTTGACTTATTATCTTGTAAGAGTAACCAAGATCTTTATTCAAAATTCTACTAATGGATGACCTGCTAGGTATGTTTGCTGGAAGGCAAACTTTGATATTTTCTAGGTGTTGCTGAATCTCTTTTGCGTAAATAGATGGTTTATTAATTTTTAGATATTCAGCGTATGCCATAACGTCATCTGTACGCGTGGTTCGAAAATCACGTTCGCCCTGGCGAGGTGCAATAGAACCAGTGTCTACCCATAGATCTATTATATTTGATATAGTCTTATACGGTAGATTTAGTTGTTTCAAAATGTTTCTCAAACACTGGTTATTTAACCACCTTTCAAGTATTTCATTTCTTACTTCTATTGGTAAAGCTTTTCCTTGCTTACTGAACGGATTCATTGCCAAATGTCTACAGGGTACAAAGACCTTTCGCGTATGCCAGTACTTCGCAACTTTAGTTCCCAACTTCAGTACTCAAGTACACAACTTCAGTACTCAAGTTCACAACTTCAGTACTCAAGTACACAACTTGTCAACTTAAGTTGACAAGTTCATAACGAATATTCCATATTTGGAAATGTAGTTGGCAACATTAGAAAGTAACTTGGCAACCGCCATTTGAAAAGTTAACTGAAATCGACAATAACAAAAGTTCAAATAACAACAGTTGTATATTTACAAAAGGTATAATTATATTATTGACAGTATTCAAACATTTGTATTTTCAAGTTTTCAACTGTCATTTATTTACTGGAACAGTTTTTATTAAGAAACTTGTATGGAACTGTCAAAGTATATTTATGAGTTTAGTTTCCAATATCTAGCTATTCAGAAGTTGTGAAGTTCCTTAAAATGAATGTTGTTGGGTCATTTTCTTGTGTAATGAGAGTAAATACTGATCTTACAGCAACCATGATCATGTAACATCCCTTTTTGAAATGCTGAAAAGCCCACAAGATTTGCTTTGCTATATAAGTATGAATACAGTCTTTTCTATATTTATTTCTATTCATTCATATAATTTACAAAATATACTTTCTATTTATGAGAAATGTAGTTGTTTGAAATGGACATGCAGTTATTGTTATTTGATTCAATCATACTTGATTTGGGGACTAACACTTTAACTGTTGTAACAATGTTTGTTTTTTATTTTGGAGGAAATATTTATTTAATGATTGATTCAATAATACTTTATTATAGTTCAAACTCTCAAGACAGTGTAAAGTAAAAGTTATAAATAACCTGAAGAAGAAAAAGTAGGATATCATTGCCATAGCATTGAAAGAAGTGAAAATGACACATTTAAGTGTCCAACTACCTGATTTTAGACTACCAGATTTACTAATATATAAAAAATCCCAGCAGTGGCCAGGATACTTGTTAATTGGGGGCACAAATTCATATATGCATGTCTTAATCTGTTGAAAACAATGGATTTCAAAGGAACTTAATGTGGCAGAACATGAATATATGAATATGTGCCTCTTACCCAAAATAAAGAGTCTGCTATGCCATTTATTCCCAGGGTATCTTGAAGAGCTCTGGCATTGTGTGTAACAGTTTGTATTTCACTTTACAAGGAACTTTTTCTTGGTTTTTTACCAAAACATTATTTGAACATAAGAGAAATTGTGTACAAAGTATAAAAAAATTATATTGGGAATATGTTTCTAGGGCAACACCCTCCTTTAAAGTATGTATCCATGTTCAGGAGTAAATGACATGACCAGACATTTTTGGCTAATGTCTTTACAACTGATAAGAACAGTAAATGAGTCATTTCTACTGGTGTCTTTACTACTGATATGGACAGTAATGAGTCATTTTCCTTGCTATGACATTCATGTCTTGCTTTTGCTATAGTTTATACTTTACATTGCTTTGAAACTGATTATCCCAGCTATATAAATGATTTTACCACAAAATCACAATACAAAATGTTGTGATTCCCTCTGATCCCAAAAAAATCAAATATAAATTAAAAATGAGATTTACTACATTAAAATGTAAGCAAAAAAAGAACATTGTCACAACAATTAAGGTGTAAATCCCCAAACGTAAATAGAAAGAAATGTTGAATCAAGTAACCAAACTATTGCTCTTCTCTCCACACACAATTCTTTTAAATACAAATTTTATTTCACCATTTATCACAGTGAACAGAAATTTGTATATTTACATATCAAAGCCAGTGTTTGGGCTTTTTGGAAAACTTACAGTATAAATTTTTCATGTATATAATGTACATGTTAAGATTTTTCTTATTAAACAACAAAAAGAACAAAACAAAACTCCATATAAACCTTTGCCTTGGTGCCTTGGCCTTTGATGATTGGTGGATGAAAAAACCAATCATTTCACACCTTAGAAATCCTGAAGAATAAAATTATTGATGACGTCATGTGGTCTTACTGCATCTTGTTTTCTTATAGGGTTGATGTACGTATCATTCCCAGAATCCCCCAGATCACTCAAATGAAAGCGTAGATCCTTAGAGTCACGACCATAAGCATCAATAAGATTTTCAAAGTTGAAAGGATGTGTTCCAATGTGAATGTATTTTTACATACTTAAAAATGTTTAGAATTTCAATCATCTCATTTTTAACTTTAAACACGAAGCAAAACTATACGTATTCAATAGCCTTATAGGAAGGAGGTGGGAGAAGGGGGGAGAGGGGGAGATTATTCCTTTTGAGATACCACACCCAAGAAAAAACCCTATTTTTCGAATATTCTATTTTCAAAATATTTTCATGATGCCCTGAATTTTCCATTATTTAGTAAAAGTTTATACAGGAAGAAGAACTTACTGGTGAAGAAACAAATCACGTAGGCAATGACTTGATGAAATGTGATATTTTTATCGAGCAAACGTTGTAAATTGTGACCCATTCCACAACACTAAACTTGAAATATCACAAAAAAATTATGTCATAAAAACGTCTTCAATTCTATGGTTAGGTTATCATTGACGACTTTACTTTATGACTTGCATAAAAACAATTTTTGATGTCTGCTAGACTTTATTCCATTGAAATTTTCTATGTTGCCTCATTAATTAATAGCTGGCTTTCACTCGTGTGTTTTGTCAGAAAATTTAACAATTGTGAACATTTAGTTATACGGAAATTTTTAACGCTCGAATTTGAAAATGCGTTATACTGATAGACATTATGGATAACTAAATTAGCAAGTGAGAATCTTATAATAATGACGCTTGTTTCTTGGTGTTTCTGCCATTTTTATAGTCCAATCACTTTAATGTAAATGTTCATACGTACATATGCCGTTATGCGATGTACATTCAACATGTCGATACCATTCCATACACGAAATGATAACTTACAACCATACGTAACAATGACTCAGAACGTGTCAGCGGTCTTTTGAAAAAAGCGGAAAGTTTGAGCGTGCGCGGTAATGCATTTGTTAATTTTGTTTATTTTGTAAAAATGTTCGACAATATTTGCTGTTCTTCTGGCAAAATTGAAGATGAAATGCGTATTTTATCACATAATATCTATTTTAATATTTCTGCAGTTTTTTAAAACCTGCCGAGCACAATCTGGTATGTTCATTTTACGTAATTTCAGAAGCAACTTGCAACTCTCCAGTACGAATAGCTGATTATTATTTGCTGTCAATAAGCATCTTGGGGATTTTAAATTTGAAACTAAAGAGTTTTTTGTTTTGTATTGACTGTTAAAAATTAGTATTGGGAATAATTGACAATGAGACTGAATGAGTTATATTGAATTTCAGTCAGATAACCATTCTCATTTTGAAAGAAAAATCATTAGCGTACACAGTACAGTAGTTTTTGTGATAAATTTTTAGTGGTGAATATTTTGACTGGAATGTACCCAAACAATGTTCTTTGAATACCTGTGTACCAGCAATCTGGAAATATTAAAGTTGAGTTGAGTGAAGAAGCTCAGATACACAAGGTATTATTCTAGTATAATATCATATTCGTATGACAATGAGCCATAAAAATATCTACAGCTGTTATCTGCGTGCTTTTTTCATAACAGGTACGAATAGACTGTCATATTTTAATCATTGAAGTGGGTGGAACAAACGTGACTTTTGTAAGTGGGGATGTACTAGTAGGAGAAAGACAAACTTCCATTACTTTTAGGTTGGTGTTCTTCAAAAGTTTCGATATTTTTACCTTTAAATTTGTTCCTGGTTTATCTCAAACAAAAAACTTATATTTAGCATTGTCTCACCTGGCCGTCCTGTCAAGGTGAAATGCACTGCCCAAAGTGTTGGCGGTGATCAATTTGTTTCAGCTTCTTCTACTGGTATAACAAGGTTCGTGAAAATTAGGATTTCTACTTACAAATGCTGAGTTCTGCGTGTGTATGAAGACACAAGTTTTGAGTTTCTTGAGACATAGGAGGTAATTGTTTCAAAGCTTTTTTAACAGAAATGGAGGATGCATTTCAACCCAATGTTGAATTTTAATGTGCCACCCCTACATTTATCTTGAACATCGATCATATTATTTTGATTTGATCATATTATTTTCAGTTATATTCAAGTAACAAAAAGACCAACTGTTAGTCTATGCTCAGATGTTGTTGTTGTTCCACAAGATCCATCAAGAAATAGAATTGTGCAGGTTTTATTAAGGTTTGCATAATCTACAGTCTCTTGGATGTCAAATTCATCATTCATTGCCTTAAGACAAGTGAGAAGTTGGATGATCATTGTTCAGACTTAATGCATCCAGTAGTTTATCAATTTTATTATATTTAAGCAGTTAATGAATTACTTGGGATAGTTCATTGTTTACTTGCAAGAGCGGCTTGCTTCCTGGTTATTTGTTACTTGCTTCCTGTGGATCGTTTTATCCAGCTATCCAGCAAAAAAGAAAAAAAAAGTCCAGCTATCCAAGTTAAGATAGCTGGACTTTTTGTTTCTTTTCTTGGTTGCGATTTCAATATCATCTTTGAATCTAAAAAATCCTCAATTTCAATTTGAATCAATGTGTGTGCTACATACCAAAATAGGTTTTTTAGTATGAAGTCCGCAAATTTTGTTATAACTATATAAAGTACGAATCCAAGGATAGTGCAAAGTTTCTCAGAAAAAAATGTTTCGAAACATTGCAAATAAAATTAGTTTCAAGAATGGTTAGTTTAGAACCTTGGCCAGGGGCGGTCCAGGAGATTATGAAAAAGGGGGCGAACTCTTTGAATTTGTTTGAAAACTAAAACTTTCCTGCCATTTTTTATTATTATTCAATTTTTTTTTTTTCTAGCAAAAGGGGGGGGGGCAGCGGCCGTTTCGCCCCCCCCTAAATCCGCTTCGAGAAGTGCTTATTAAAGGCTAAGCAGTTTGTTTCTTGACGAATAGCCTTAGACGTAAATAAACCTTAATTTAGTATTTGCACTTAGATAGCGTATAAATAATACGGACATTTGGCACGCCACAATCATACAATCGTCATTCATGCATCACATTCTTTTCTTTTACTATGCAGTATACAACTTAAAAATTACGAAATCACTCGTGATTTACTTTCTTTGTTTCGGTTATGTTGTATTTTTCGATTCTTCTAACACATGTGCGAAGGTCGTGTGTTCGGAAGAATAAAATGCTTTGTTTGCGATATTTTTTTAGCGCAAAATTCCACCTAATTAAATAATAAGGCAACGAGTAGTAAAATGCAACGGTGTTCGATGAATATTAACGTTGTACAGACTGTGCTCTGGTTGCTCACAGTGCAGCAGAGATGCAGGCATTGGTGGACAAATTTGCACAAGCTGCCGCTATGTTTAGCCTCAAGATAAACATCAAAAAGACTGAGTGCCTCTACCAGCCAGTAAAGCTTCTACTCCCTCCCCCAAAACCCTGTGCAATCACCATAGACGGACAGCCTCTTGTCCAGACCACAGACTTCAACTACCTGGGTAGTACAATCTCCAGCAATGCTAAGATTGAAAAGGAGCTGAGGAACAGAATGGGAAGGGCGAGTGCAGCGTTCAGTCAACTAAACGATCGGCTATGGCAAAATAAGCATGTCTCGACCAGAGTTAAAGCCAAGGTCTATCAGGCGGTGGTGCTGACAACACTCCTTTATGGAGCAGAGGCATGGACAATCTACAGGCTTCAAGTGAAGAAACTGAGTGCGTATATGATGAGACAACTGCGGGACATTCTGAAGATATCATGGCGGGACAAGATCGCAAACGCTAAGATTCTCCGTCTGACTGACCTGCCACACATGGCTGACATGCTGATTCAAAAGAATTTAAGATGGATTGGTCATGTCCATCGTATGGAGAGATCTCGTTTACCACGCCAGCTATTGTACAGCCAACTAGTAGAAGGGAAACGAAACCAAGGCCGACCTCGACTCAGACTCAAAGATGTCATGAAACGAAATCTAAAGAGGAGAGACATCAACGTGACAACCTGGAAGCAACTGGCTGATAACAGACCGGCCTGGAGAGCTTCAATCCAACCATAGAACAGTCCTCGTCGCTTACGACTGACTGCATGATGATGATCAGTTGATGAACAAGTGCAGTTTTCGGCAAGTTTGCGTGAATGAGCATTCATTTCGTATTTGCACTTTTATAACGATTACATGAAAGTCGACAAATTTATACAGTCGCACTACATGACTTTCTCATATTGTTCTAAAGCACTTCACAAGTACTGCTTTCTTCACGGACAGTAATAGTCCACTTTATTTCTGGTAAAACGTTTCTTACCGAGGCAGATGAGTGCGCAACTTTATGCTGTAAGGCTAGTCATGCAGTAAATTCGAAATATACACAACGTCGCAAGTTAAGATCGAGTTTTTTAACCATATCTCACTGACTTCCAAGATAAGTTACGCAACTGCGTTAACTTATTTGAAACATACAACACACCTTACATACCTAAGCCAATAAAGACAGAAGTCCAAACGAACGACATGTAGATGACCAATTGCTGTTTATAAAAAAGTTAAATTTAAATTGACAAATAGAGCAAGCAATCACTGAAGAATTTTTTCAGTTCGATGTACGTATCGAACAATTCACGCAAAAACTCACCATTTTCAAGTGATTTTTCTGAAACAATTTTGTTTACGTGCTGCTTTGTCTAAGTTCAAGCGAGAATGAGCAAATTTTTCTCCAAGGAGTCATTAACAAATTCTTTTCAAAGCCACTAAGGGTGCTGTGTAAATACAGACGAAAAACAAGACGAAACATCAATATAGATTTCAAGGCATTAAACTTTTGTACAGCGCAAGGTCATAGTTTATCTGATAGCTTTTATCAAAACTGTTATCGGAAAATGCTGCTGCCTAAGTAATTTGTAAGATATACAGGGTACGTAATTAGAGTGCCATTGAGAATATTTCTCAGATCTTGGTGTAAATTTACATTTAAAATTTTTATTTGCTAATTTATTTTCGCAAATCGTATTTTTCTCAATCAATTCTAGTCGAAAATTGTGCCAAAAGCATCGTGAAAATATAACTTCAAAAGACGTCAATTCGTGTAAATATTATTGTGGAAACAAACATACGGGTAAAGTCAAGATTCTCAGTATAACAAAAGACTTTTTATTCCAAACTTCAAATAAAAGCTACTGAATACCATGCAGAAATGGATAGTGGAGTAAGCTTTGTAAAGAAAATCTAGGACGTTTTTATTTCATATTTGGTGTTCTTGTGTACAGTACACATACGAATTATTTTGCTTATTTTATTTGACAAAATGCGACCGTGCGATTTCTTTGTATTCATGAATTGCTTTTTATCTTGAAAATATCAAAAGCTCAAGGCAAAATCACTATCATAATAAACTTATGTAGTGCTTGTATATATACTGTCGCTGCCCCCCTTAGCACATTAAATCCTCATCACGCTTGCTAACTATTAATTTCAAGATATGAAAAAATAAGGAAACAAAACAGGATATGTGCTGACAAAAGAGACTTGTGCTGTACAAAACTTTAATGCCTTGAAATCTATATTGATGTTTCGTCTTGTTTTTCGCCTGTATTTACACAACACCTTTAGTGGCTTTGAAAAGAATTTGTTAATGACTCCTTGGAGAAAAATTTGCTCATTCTCGCTTAAACTTAAACGCAGCAGCACGTAAACAAAATTGTTTCAGAAAAATCTCTTGAAAATGGTGAGTTTTTGCGTTGATTGTTTGATACGCACATCGAACTAAAAAAAATTCTTCAGTAATTGCTTGCCCTATTTGTTAATTTAATTTAGTTTTTTTAATAAAGAGCAAATGATCATGTACATGTTTTTGGTTTGGACTTCTGTCTTTATTGGCTCAGGTATGTAAGGTGTGTTGTATGTTTCAAATAAGTTAACGCAGTTACGTAACTACGTTAATACTTATCTTGGAAGTCAGTGAGATATAGTTAAGAAAGTCGATCTAAAATTGCGACGTTGTGTATATTTCGAATTTACTGCATGACTAGCCTTACAACATGAAACATTTTACGAGAAATAAAGTGGACTATTACTGTCCGTGAAGAAAGCAGTACTTGTGAAGTGCTTTAGAACAATATGAGAAAGTCATGTAGTGCGACTGTATAAATTTGTCGACTTTCATGTAATCGTTATGAAAGTGCAAATACGAAATGAATGCTCATTCACGCAAACTTGCCGAAAACTGCACTTGTTCATCAACTGATGCAGTCTGTACAACGTTAATATCAGGGGCGGATCCAGCAATTTTCGTGATGCACCACTGCGAGCTCTGTAGGGGGGTCTGGGAGGATACCCCCCGGAAAATTTTATATTTTAGATCGTCGGAAATGCGATTTCCTGCGTTTTGACAACAGAATTTAAAAAAACTTGGCTTTACTTAGTTTGTAAACTCTTCGCAAATTTCAATGACATAAAATCTAAAATTCCACTAACCTTTAAACATTTTCATTACTAATATCAGATTTATCAAGTTTCATACCTTCGCCAAAACTTACAATAAGGAAGGTGTCATTCCAAACCACGAGTGATTTTGAAAAGGTAGAAGCTTGGCATATTTTTTGTCGTGAAACGCAAAGAAACCTTTTATATCTCACAAAGGAAGCACAAGTTTTTGACCATTAATCACACTTGATACCACTTGTCGAACAACAGAAAAAGATACGTAGACATAGCAAAGAAATGTTCAAGATGTAATCATCGTACCAAAGGCAGGCAACAAGTAATGATAAATGTTATTCTTCTTCTTTCATTGATAATATCACTCTTCCAACAGCAGAAAAAGATACGTAGACATAGCAAAGAAATGTTCACGATGTAATCATCGTACTAAAGGAAGGCAACAAGTAATGATAAATGTTATTCTTCTTCTTTCATTGATAATATCACTCTTCCAACAGCAGAAAAAGATACGTAGACATAGCAAAGAAATGTTCACGATGTAATCATCGTACTAAAGGAAGGCAACAAGTAATGATAAATGTTATTCTTCTTCTTTCATTGATAATATCACTCCTCCAACAGGAGAAAAAGATACGTAGACATAGCAAAGAAATGTTCACGATGTAATCATCGTACCAAAGGCAGGCAACAAGTAATGATAAATGTTATTCTTCTTCTTTCATTGATAATATCACTCTTCCAACAGCAGAAAAAGATACGTAGACATAGCAAAGAAATGTTCACGATGTAATCATCGTACTAAAGGAAGGCAACAAGTAATGATAAATGTTATTCTTCTTCTTTCATTGATAATATCACTCTTCCAACAGCAGAAAAAGATACGTAGACATAGCAAAGAAATGTTCACGATGTAATCATCGTACTAAAGGCAGGCAACAAGTAATGATAAATGTTATTCTTCTTCTTTCATTGATAATATCACTCCACCAACAGCAGAAAAAGATACGTAGATATAGCAAAGAAATGTTCACGCAGTTACCATCACCTCTAGTTCTACACAAGCAATAAAAATTAGAAAGTCTATTGAATAAAATCACTATTGACTCTATGTTGATAAAGAAAAGCCTTTTAGGGGAACATTCATCAAGCCTTAAATTGTAATGTTTTGGGTTGCCTTTAACAATCCATAAATATTTTTTTAGATAATTGAATCTAAGCATGGTAATGCCAGTACTATACTTTCCCAACCAAATTTATGAGACCAGCTTTCAAGGGGAGTATAAGTACGTACCTAATAGCTAATACTACGTACCCTCCTAGCTTTAATCAAATAGCAATGGTGAGGACTTCTATACATAAGGATCAGGATACACATATGCACATATGCAAAAATAAAATATGGTGATGTAATATACAATGAAATATGTTAAAGAATTACAATATAGAACTGTTGCTCTAATATCTTTATGTATAGTGGGTAATTTTGAGATAATAATAATCATGTAAAGACAATACAGTAACATCAAATCTATGTAAATGAAATGCTTTGCTGTGTACCCACCCTTTTGTGATCATAATGTTTTATGGTAAATTTAGAAATTTGGCACACTGTGCATGATTGTAAATGAGAGCATACACTCAAAAAAACATCATCTTGTAAACTCAAGATTCCAGTTATAACAGCAACAGAGAAGATTCAAAGCAATATTTCAACTTCATATGAAAGTCATTATCAAGCTAGGTGTGGAAGAAATAATAAGGAATTGTTGTGGCTGAAATAATATGTAATTACAGTTTGCTTTGCTAAATTTCAGGGAATTGACAATATTAGGCATGCAATTTGAAAATGAAAAACTCTAATGAATTACATGGTTGGTCCGGCATAGCTCTTACATTCAACACATTGCATAGCTCAGAAAGTTAGTATTTATAAACAAGCAAAATGTATGAAAAATGTGCCCTCTCTGTCTGTCACATTGAGCACATATTACAACATATTACATGGAATATTTAAATATCTATGAAATATCCTGAAGTAATGTAATATTAAATTATTAGCTCTTATATTTTTATGTATATTAACTTTGAAATCAAAATATCCATGTGAGCAGAATTAGAGTGGAGATTTCTCCAGGAAGTACGTAGAGACTTCTACCAGTGACTTTAATCCGAAGAAATCTCCAGTATAAATATGCAGGATTACCCAAATTCAAACATATAGTTGTGAATAAAATGTTTTGTGATCTTATGTTATATGACACTTTATAAACTTGGCACAACAACATGCATAAATATGTGCACACTAGTTATGGCATAAATCCAAAGCATTGCATTACACTACTGGCTAAAGCCATCAATAGCCAACAATATTGGACATGGAGTTTGAAAATTGACATTGTAAAATAGAATACAGTAAATTTCAATTTAATAGGTTAATGCAGGTCAGGATGCTTTGAAATTTAAATAAATTCAACAGGGAATAAACACCCCATGTGCCCCTTCCCATCATATTCCTAACATTAAAGAGAGTAAGCCATAAGCATTACATAAATACAAGTATAGACCTACAGCTATGCATTACATTGCAAGCATAGTAAAGAGTAAGCACTTCAAGATACTTACTTTAAAGCCCGCCAATTATCTCCCATATGCTTAGGGATAAGCAACTCTGCGTTAAGATCTCTCGCCAGCTTTCCTTTTCGAAACAGGTCTGTTTTAGTCGGAATGGCAGTAGACTTTTGCTTCATAATCCTTTCTTACAGAAGAAATCTCGCTGGTTTTACTGTCTTGAATCAATGAGCCAAAATCGTATATATGCCTACTTTCAGCCATGATGACTTCAATATATAAATAAGCCAAATGCCATAGTCATGTAATTATAATTTTGAAGGTTTGAAGATTTATAACGCTGGCTCAAGTGCACCAGTCAGAATGAAATTTGGGTGTTCGTGGGCTTAAGTGCAGCAGTCAGCAGCGATTTCCCACCGTGACGTAGCTAAAAAACAATGAAATTCGTGACGTTTAGGTGGTTCACTCGGCCAAAGAGACTCAGGACTGTTGCACCAATGGTGCACTTTTTCCCCACCGTGACGTAAGTGATTTATTAGGGAGTTTTACATTGAGTTCTATAATAACTGGAGCGGCTATCTCAAGCGCGGCCTTAGATATCTGATGACGCCAAAAAAATGGCGGATTTCGTCCGTTGCCGCTGAGATTTACCGAAATTGACCGCTTTTCCGAAAATTTCACAATTTCCCACTCCCTCCTGAGGAGAGAGAGAAGAAAATGTATGTGTGTATTTGGGATTCGGCAAGCAATTTTTTGATAAAAATCACGATAAAAACCTACAATTCGTAGCAGCGAGTCAACCTAGCTTTCTAGTTATCGGCTCCTACGAGGATGCATTTATAACTATCGACGAAAGAGTTATATGTCGACTACACATGTATGAATGCAGATATGCGTCGTTTTCTTACCAGCGTCAAACTTGTTTGATCGATTACACTCTTTAGTCTATACAAAAAAGTATATCATAGCTCATCTCCACAGTGGTTCACGGGAGAGAATTTAGCTTATTTGTTATCATTGCTATTTTACTTCTTTTCGTGGAAAGGCAATGGCCTTTTTTCGCCACAATTGTAGGATTTTTACTTGTTTCTTTAAAAAACTAAATATTAAATCTCTGGATATTTACGGATTTTCTGTAATTGAGTTTCATATTAAATTTCAAAAAGACTCAAGTCTGCATAGGTTTGGTAAATGAAAACAAACAATATTGTATAGAAATTACTTTGAGTAACCTTTTTGTGATGTTCTGAACTGCAACTGCATCAAATACTTGTAAAGTTGTAGCACATTTTGATTTTGTTGTATTGATATATAAATTGGGCAAAATGCAAATAATCATCAAAACACTTATGCTTCCAATGGTGTTTATAATTCATTTTTAGTTTTAATACTTCTACCCTTCTTTTTCACTTTGTTTTGTTTTTCCTATATTTGCAATATAAGTGCACAATTTGAATGATTAACACAGTTTTCACCTCAATAATAAATTTCATAAGTAGTTGGTAGTGCATTTTGTTCTCTGAGTATCCACATTTGGTGTTTTATTCATACATGAATGATGAAATGCATATGGATATGTCATAGCAAGGCAATAAAACCAAATGAATTAAATACCTATAGTGTACTTTTATGCTAGAAGCTTAAAAGCTTTCTAGAAATTATAAAGTTATTGGATTATATTACCTCTATATCATCAATCTCATGAAAAGAAATAAGAAGCAAAATATTTGTAGAAAAGCTTTGAAAAGTGAAAAACATTTATTTAAAAAAGCAGCAATGATGCATATGATAAATCTCCATTCTGTACTCTAATAGGTAAATAAGCTCAAACTGTTTCTTAAAGAAATATAAGAAATATATAAAAAATACACAGTACAGTAATTTTAAAGGTTTCATCACTGAATCTTTAATGCTTCAGTATAGTGCATTAGATATTAGTAACATTTAAACAACACTCAACTAAAATATTTTGATAAAGATATGACATGATTTAAACATTAAGTAACATAAAACCCAATGGCTTATACAGTTTGAAGCTTCACATCTGCATCGAGTCATCATCAATCTCAGTACAAATGTTTACATAGACACAAACTTCATAGCCTTTCCATTTTATATGTTGTGAATTGGCATTTAATTAAGCATCAAAACACACACAACCTTCTTGCCATCTTTTTTTGGTTCATGAACTTTAACTTCAAAGCATTCAAGGCATCCTTAGTGAATCCATTGTCTCCATCCATAGAATTTGACCATGATCAAATTAAATAACTCTGGATAAGGCAGACAATAAATCAATTATCTTTACAACATCATTTTTTGAAGACTCTGCCTGGTCAATAACATCTTCCAGCCATCTTTACTCCTTGGTCTTCCCTGCATGTTGTCAGGAAATAGAACATAACAAACTCTGCTCCAAATCATGGGTACTGTTGGGGCTGATCATTTCTTTTTGATACTTTTCACAGAGCAAAATGTGTGCAGGGTCTTTTTTGCTTTAGGGAAACTATTTTGCAAATAGATAGGTAATTTACGATTTCATGCATTAACACATGACAGAAAAGTTTGCAGAATTTTATAGACAAAAACAGGAAAACATCAGTATATTTGGCGTTCAAGTCAGTCTTAAAAGTGCATGTATAATTGTTTTTCAATCGTTGACGGACTAACAAAACAAACAACTACCTCACCTGTGAGAAGCGATATGTTCCTTTTTGTGGAAACTAAGACATCAACATATGAACGAATAAAGTGTTGGCATTATAAAAGAAATGCCAAAAAAGAATCGTCACAGAATATGGAACTAACGATATCCATATTCTGTGATATCGTGTTTGTTTTTGAAAAATTCTTTATAATTTACTGTAGACACCACGGGGAGGTCGAGAATATTATTTTTCTGCAAAGCGATCATTTCAGCGGAAATACGTCAGTTGGCCGCCATTTTTTTAGCGACCTCGCCCCAGTAAAGTTAGCCGCTCCAGTTATTATAGAACTCAATGGAGTTTTAGCAAGAGTACGACTACGAGAACGAGTACGAAATTTGACCGTGTAAGGGAATGGCACGAGGAAGTTTGTTGTCGTTGTCGCTTCGTCAAAATTTTGCTTTAGTTGTAAACAACAGAACGAGCCTTTTTATTGTGTAAAACACCGACGTTTGCGAAGCAGCTACGGCTCTATTTGTCAATAATGATATCAAAGAATCGACAATACTGGTTTTGCGAGAATATAGGACTCTTTAGACTGAAAAATCTTCACTATTTTAAGTTTTATGTACGATATATTTGTACTATTTTATTGTTTGTTTACCTTTCACTTTGCGTACGAAATACATGAAAGTTTTGCAGGTCATATTTTCCTTTTTAATGTACATCTGCGCTCAAAAGGGTTCTAAATTAAAGCCTGGATGCTCGAAAATAGTACTGTAAACTAATTTCTTACAGAATGAAGAAATATACCTACTTTCTTTGCTTAAAAAGACATCGTAGTCACGACTACGAATTTTTTACAAAACATCGTACTCAGATTGATGACGGCTACGTGTTTTTCTTGTCGCAACAATTTTTTCGCGCCAAAATGACGTAAATCGTACTCGTAGTCGTACTCGTAGGCTATGCTAAAACTCCCTATTATCTAGCCACCGTGACGTAATAATACAAATTCAGCTCAGTGTAGCTGGATGATGAAACAAATTTTCGCTAAAAATTTCGACACATAAAAACGCCATATTTAGCGACGCATTTTTTAATAATGCGGCAGTAATCAAAATGATACTCACATGTAAACAATCGACGAAGGTTTTTAACAATATTTCTCAATCATCAATGTACATTTGTTGTCCATATATTCTCAGTGTTAAGGTATTTAAAGCATTTAGAAACTATAAACGTTCCAATCTGATATATTTCTTGCATTTTGCTCGTATTGATTGTAAGTTATAATATGTTGTGAAAGATTGACTATTCAATTTTATGACTGATGCACTCGCATCAGTTGCACCAGCCTGGACCGCCTCTGATGGATAGGATGTTTCACTTTATTTCACTTTATTAGTCGCAAATTATTGAAGAAATCGTCTGGGCATGCGCAGTAGTGACTTCAATAATACCACAACTCTCATAAGGCTTTGAATTTATGTATATAAATATAAAGCTAAATATAGGTTTAATATATGTCAACTAGCAGTGGAAGCTGGGTGCGATATGTATGCAGTGGCTTAGGGGTCCAGACGTTTCGGGTCGCGACCGCACTCTCCCTGCGTACCCCGAGCAAAAGGGACCTTACGATGCGACAACGGCAACTGCCACGGCACCGGAGTTTGATCCCTTTTTTTAACTGAGCATGCGCACGCACCATCTGTACGTTGTTTACACGTTTTGAAAAGACGGAACCGACGTGAAAACAACAACTTTGGCGTCGCTTCAGAACGGCAGAGAAAAAAAATCAAAAATCTTGCAAAAATCATTCGATTGTCAAATGGCGAGGTGAGTTTTGTTATCTTTGGCTTAATATATGTAAATGAGGTTATGGTTGACTCAGCCTTTATGCTTAAATGGCTACTTATGGCTTAAAATGCTTACATATTTTTCTGAATATCTCTTTGTAGCACTACTGTTGCTTCACGCGCATCTATGAAATGGTCCTCAAGCCATGATATAGCTTTATCACGAGAAATCTTGCTATTTAGACCATGGATTCACAGAAGAGGATCAACTGAAAGAGGCCAAATTTGGGAAAACATTGCTAAATCGCTCAATGCTTTGGAAATGCCAAAATTCCATGTATCTCAGAGATCTGTTCGCGATCGATATCAACTGCTTGAAAAGAAATACAAAAGAAAACAATCAGAAGAAGAAAGAGCCAGTGGTATTTCACCCGAAGAGTGAACTTGACGAGGCTATGGAGGACATCATAGCTCAGTTTGAGGAAGCTGATCATTTAAATGAACAACTCACGTTCGAGAAAAAACAGAGAGCTCAGGCAGAAGTTGAAAAGGCTGTAGAAATGCGTCGCTGCTCAATGGAAACGTTCAAAGAAACGAAAAAGAGGAATGGCGAGGAAGAAAATAACGAGCCATCTGCTAAAAAGAAGAAAAGGACCAGTGGATCGGATGTCATGCGATACCTGCGAGAAAAAGGCGAAATTGATATAAAAATGAAAGCTGATGAAGTCGAGCTGACAAGAACGGAAAGTGAACGACATTACGAACTTATGCAGGAAGAACTACGCATTAGAAGGCTTGAAGCTGAACGCCAAAAAGAGCAGAATGAGCAACAAGTTATGCAGTTAACTAATTCCCAAATGATGCAACAACAACAGATGAAACAGCTATTTGAAGTGACTCAAGGTATGATGTTACAGCAGCAGCAGCAAAGTGCTTCTTTTGTAGCTATATTTGAAAAGTTTGCAACAAAATTCAACTAAAAACCGTAACAATCATTGTGTTTTATTTGATTTTTTGTTTGCATATCATTGTTCTGTTGAAAGACAGTGTTTTTAAGACATTTAATATTTCTAAACATAAACATAAATAAGAATAATGAAGGATTAGGACTAATTTTTTGGTCTAACTTACATTGTTATTTGTATTGTTTGTATTAAATATTGTTGTTTTTAGTTATTGTTTTGGTCTATTCATTCTGTACTCTGTTAAAACATGTCAAACGTTTATGTAAACATTGCAGCACAATACAGCATTTATAATACCTCTTTTCATTCATTGTCAAAATATATTCATCTAAAGCAGGTGGATCAAGCTGAAAATAAGTGGAGGTTGTTGACTGATATAGGCAAGTGCGTGCATTATGAATTAAGGCAGAACAAACATACATTTTCCCCACTGCACTCAAGTGAACTTTAAGATTTTTCTTAAAGTCTACAAATTTAAAATAGTTAACAACATCACCAAACACCCACTCTACTGCCACCCTGACAGAGCTCATAGATTTTTTCCATGCAAGTTGGTCTGCTGTTAGCCCAGCCCCTTTGTATGGAGCTTGAAGATGTGGTCTAAGAGGGTAAGCTGGATCCCCATACACACAAAGTATATCTCCTTCAGGATTCATTGAGTATTGCTGCATTTGATTCAAGATACCAGACATTGCCAGCATGGCACTGTCATGTCGTTTTCCTTCGACTGGGCCATACAAATTAGCAATTAGTCCATTAGGGGCTGCTATAGACTGAAACTTTATGGCGTGTACTCGTTTATGACCGTTGTAAAGTACACGTTGATTTTTTTCCTGGTCTAGTCACAGGTCTGACTGTACCATCTATGAACCCCCCAGCAGTTTGCCAATGGAGCACCTTGGCTGTGTACTGCATCAGCAAATATTTGTAAATTGGAGGGAGAAAGCCAGGGTTGATTTAAAGAAGACAACAAATGTCCCCATCGCTCATATGTGAAGTTGATAACTTCGTTTGTTATCATGCATAGCTGTGGAATGGGTCTTCCAAATGTTGGCACCAGATCTGCAAAGCGGCAAGGATAAGCAAACCTCATCAAAAATATACAAAGCGCCTCAATGCCGTCGACTTGAACACCATTATAACAAGTTACCTCTAGAGGTAGCTGCATTACGTCGCGTAGGTGGTATATATCGTTGCGATAAAATCGAAAATTGTTTTTGCACTCATCGTCAGAAAACATGTGAATGGAAAACTTGTCGTACTTTCTGTAACACATATTCGGGTTTTTTGGTTTATATATTTCGTATAGCAACATGCAGTCATCTACACCAAGAAAACCATCACCATGAGAAAGCAACAGAGCGTCTCTGATGCACGGCATCATGGAAAATATATAAATATGGAAGCTAGCTGTTTAGCGAAAAACTTTTTATCAACATAAAGATTTCCCGCGCTTTTTACGAACGTCGCCTTATCGTAAGGACAAATTAGCTACAACGAGAACGGCAACGGCAACTAGTCGATCCAGTCCCTTCAGAGTAGATTGAGGTTGCCGTCGCAGTTGCCGTTGCCGCATCGTAAGGTCCCTAAAGCCTATCGCAGGTGATCTCGGGGTCTGATGGGCGGAAGCTTGCTATTGACATCCCCAAGTAGGATAGCGTGGAAGGGGCCGAAATCTTCTACCGAAACGTTAACATGCAGCGTTCTAGTGCCTTACGCTTAAGAAGGTATCGGGAAGCATGGACCGAAAACGGGGGTTTTTGCTTTTGAGTTCTATCTTTTTGTTTACAAAACTTCTTCTTATTAAATAAATCAAGCAACGTTTCAATTAACTTCTTTTGACACTGTGCCGTTTTTTGACACTTATAAGTTAAGAAGACCTTAAACGTTTTATACTTACCGTTTCTCATGTATTACGAGCAAACCAACCATGGGCTTTATGGAAAACAACGATTATCTATTTCCCTTAATTAACGTCTAGTTCTCAATTATCTCGGGGTCTCGCGAGGCATGGACCGAAAACGGGATTTTTTGTTGTCAATTTGTGGCTTTTTCCTTTACAAAAATTCTTTTCATAAAAGACATGACAACTTTAAAGTACACGCGATATCTTTTTCATAAATTGATGTATTTTTCATTGTTCTTTATCTTGGGATTCTACAATTTATTTCAAAGTTTTGATTCCGTAAAGTTGGACACATATCCAATTTACTATTTTTTCAACTGAATAAACTGCAGACTGAGTTTTTTAAAATTTGTACTGACAATTGCGAAATATGTTTTCTGTGATAAAAAGCAGCGATGTACGTACAGGTACCTTAGTTCTTGGTGTAGCAAATTTCTCCTTTGCACGTTAGCACAAAGCAGTTATGCGTCCGCCGGTTCTCTATGGGACTGTATACTATCTAAAGCTAGCGCGCAGTCAAACACAACTCTCAAATGTCATCAATTTAAATTTCTAGTCAAAGTTATACATCAATTCCAATTCAAGCTCCTTACTTGTTCACAGGCATCAACAAAATACAATGCCGTCTTAATTTGACCCTTCTAAATTACTCAAAAATCATAAGTTCCTTATTCCGCTTTAACGATAAGTTCCTAGTCTCAAATAACAATCATAATTTATTTCCATAATTTCCGACAATTAGAGATAAAAAAGATTCTGAACATACTTTTCTTCCTAAGATATTGGAATAACTTTTTTGCCTAAATAAAATGATGAAATGTACAATTAATCTATAGATCAAATAGCGCCTTTATCAAGCTGATTTGAGCTCGATATCTTTTACACACAATGAATTCTTACATTTACTTTGTCTATTTACACAAAGACAGATTTTAAGATGTTTTTTCACATGTTAAAAATCACACAGTGATTTTTCACATTTTCTAGGTCAAATAACTTTCATATGTAACTGGTACCAGTAACTTTTTGTATTTGAATGAAAGCAAACCATACACAGCTTTCCATAAATACGCTAATTTAGGTATCAAAGTCACAATCTGGAGAAAACAGTATTTTGCAATTTTAGAGCAAAAACGAGGTTGTTGTTCGATATTTACTCTCCAGACCTAAGAACAAAGTTCTGCGTAAACATATCTAAATGAAAATGCTCAATATTTACAAACATATACACTATAAAATGCTTTAAAAAGCAAGTACATTGTGAAAAATACTGTAACTGCCTTTTTTATGTAATTTTAATAACAAGCTTAGACTGCTAAAGTGGCATAAATAGTATTTGTTCCTTAAAAAGAAGCAACTCACTAATATGATTTTTCACGTTGGGAATTTTGGGAATGATTTTACGATAAACAAAGCAGAGATTACTCTAAATATTTGAATTTATAAGCATCAGACCTTTATGAATTTCATTTCAGTTTTAACAAAGTTAAGGCAACTTGCTCAAGGTCCTAAATTACAAAAATAGATATTTATTCATGACTCAGTTTGCTGAGCCAACCTGGGTTTCAATTGTACATTCGAGTACGTCGGGGACGATAAGGAACAATATAGAAAACATGAGTGGAACGGAAGTGAGACAAGTGAGACAAGCGAGAGTAAGTGTAGTTAGTGCAGTCATTAAAGTCAAAATGACCAGCGATGTTTAACACTAAGACATTGAAACGGAAGTTAATACCAACATTACAAGTCTTTTTTTAGGACTGCACAAATCTGCATGTACAATCACAACGTGTACCAACATGTAATGAAAATGTGATGTTTTCAAAGTTGTTCTTTAACATTCCTAATTATTGAATCAAACCAACTCGTTGGTTGTAAGCCACAAAATACAGTATGTCAGACCTATGGCCAGAGACTATAGCTTGAAAACACATGACAAAATTATCCACCCTTATGGGCGTCAATCCTGTCTTATATGAGGAGTGGACCATATTCATATATTCTGCTATGCTTGTCTAAGTTCTTTTCAAAATAATTTCATTTTCAAAAGAAATCAGCCTGGCACAACAGAATATATGAATATGGTCCCCCCCCTATTATTGCAGGAATGACGCCCATGTTTACCCTGAAATCGTTATGATAGCTCCCTCTTCAATGTATAAAAGGACACTTCCACTGTTTCTAACCTAAGCTTCATCTTTCGCTTTTTTTTCCTCCTCAAGTTTTTTTTTCTTTCGTTTTTCATTCTCATTCTTCGCCTCCTGAAATTAATATTTAGTTCTGTCAATTTATTGTTATTTTATATCTACTGCGCATGCGTTGAACAGAACTAAAACAACAAAAAGAGACTTACGGCAAAAGATACTAAAAACGTGTAAAAAATGCCAAAGAAATTTTTCGAGGTAATGGTCTTCGGTTGTTCACCAAACGCCGAAACAGATTTCTCGTACTAAAAGTAGAAACATATTTAATGTGTCCTTTTTCATGGCCGAAGATAAAAATAAATCAAAATTCTCACTCTTGTTTTCATCTCCTTCAAGGAATCATCAAGTTCATTGAACGACGCTTGTGCAGCTGTGAGAAACGTTCCAGTTTCTTGAAGGAAATTATCACCAGATAATTTATCCTTATTTTTACCATGATAATCATACTCCTGTAAGAAAAATTGGAGCAGTTGTAAGTTAAAGACATTTACATTTTTTTAAGGACAAATTAAAAACCTTTTCAACTGTTTTGAGTTCTGTTTTGAATTTCTTTACGTCTTTTTCTAACTCTACAAGACTGGAAAAAAATGTCGTTGGAGCAAGCAATCTCTCCTATCAATGATGGTAATCCATAATTTATGAGCCCATTCTATCCTCACCTGACATTAGCAGCTGTCTTAACATCTCCCAATTCTTCCTCAAGCTGCAGTACGGCCGGAAACTGCAGGAACCCAAGACGAGACAATCAAAACTAATTTTTTAATGTGAATCTAAAGTGAATCTAAAGTATAAATTCCACACAAACCTTTTGATCCAAAAGCATGACCAAGTAATCTAAAAGATTAATTTTGCTGTTCGAACTTGATTTTGTGTCCATGATCTTATTGATACTGGCAATTCTAAACCCTGTAGCGTTTCCTCTTTCTCCACGATTCATATAATTCCCAAAGGCCAATACAACTTGAAGTAAATCACGGAATTTTCTGCTGCGGAACACTTGCTTAGATGCTTCTATCACAGCTGTTGAAATAAAGGTATTGTAGTCACGTACAACAGACATTTACTTCAAACAATAAAATGACATCTTTTCAAGAAATGCACGGCTTGCTATCGTTCGGATAAGATTTCAAAAGGTGCTTTGAGGATGTCACCGTGTCATGTCAGACTTATTTTTTTAAACTATTTTACTCCTACCTCATAATTGGAGATAATTTCTTTGAAAGTTTGCTGCATCTAAAACAAATCCTAATTGCGTTTGCTATTATTTATGTAAGTATGGAAATTGGAATTCCTCCCAGAAAATCTATGATCTTTTACCTTTAACTTTTGTGTTTATATCGCCCATTCGTTCTGGGAAACGTTTCACGTAAAACAAAGTTGCCAATCGTTGTTCGTAACGGTTGATTCTAAAAGCAAAAAAAAAGATTTGTACGTTTGGTACACGAAATTAAAGCAGTCACTTCACATATACGACATACTTGGACATTTCGTATAAAAATCTGTCTGCTTTGGCAAACTGTTCTTTCTCCTTACTATGATCATTGAGCAGATTTTTTTCTTGGGGAGTGGGTACAAACTTCAAGAGCTAAACAAAGAGGATGAAGATAGATTCGTTAGTAAAAATGTTTAATTCCTATGTAAGAAGTCGAAGGGAAATTTAACCTGTTCAAGCATTTCTACAGATAATTCGCCATCTTTATCCATGGTGAGAACAGCTTGCGCTAACTGTTCGTTAGAAGTATTTAGTTTTGATAACAAAATTTAACAGTTCTAAACAAAAACAAGATCTCGATGCAAATTTGAATGCAAAAACAACTTCTCAACTCAACATATTTGATAGCATCATGGAACCTCGGCTTTTCTACTATCTACGAATGACAATTCTTTGCGATTTGTTTCCGGAGCCACACAAGCTTCTGCACCACCGTCTTTCTAAAATGAACAATTAAAATTGCTCTCAACAAAGGATATAGACCATTGAAGAAAGTGTAAAACGAACACAAAATGTACCTGGTCATTCTTAGATTTTTGATATGCCGAGAACATGCGATCAAAGTCGTTAAAATCCATGATTTCATGAATCTGATCAAGCAAAAATTAAATAAATTGAATGAAAAACCTTCAAGAAAGTATTGCTTTGAAAAACATTCGAAACTGAACAAAAAATCGGTACCTTCGAGTCGTCTATTACCGTCCAAACTGTTCCTTTTATTTTGGTCTAGAAATGAAAATTTTGTACATAAAGAGACATGCATGGCAATATACATTGTTACTGAATGACATCGCTGACAATGTCAATGCCTAACATAACACTTCACTTACATCAGGCAGTTTTGACCAGTTAAATGATTTCAAAGGTTGCGAAGGCTTTGGTACATTTCTCTTTCCCTTTCCCTGTAATGCGCCTGGTAGGCCAGGGGCACCTGGGGGAGGTAGTGGACCTTGAAAAACAAGAGAGAGCAAATGATAGATGTTCAGTTCAGAACATCACAATAATCAAAATTATTTTACGCAAATAAAAATGTCACCTGGTATTGCACCCCCGAAAGGTGGAGGTGATGGTGGCATTCCTGATAAAGGTGGTGGTAGTGATGGTCCGCTAGGAGGTGTTGGTACTCCAGGAGTAAGTAATCCAGCTAACGGAGAAGGGGGAGACGGACCAGCATGTGCTTCAAGATTAGGAATTTCCGGTGGGGCACTTGTACTATTCTTGACAAAATGCTCAACATTACAGTCTTCAGGAATCTTCCCACCAGATTTTTCGACGATCTCTTTAAGTTTTTCCAAGACTTTTTTGTGAGCTTCAAGCTAGGAAATGAAAAAATCTCCACATGAAACAAAAATATGATATCATAAAACATTAACAATTGCTTTACAAGAATGGCAGCACTGTTAACTTTGCTGTCAAGCTCTTGTATTCTTTTAAATGCCTCATTCTTCTCTGCAGTCTCACGTTCTAATTCAATTTTTAGTTTTTCCATCTCTTCATTTACTTCATCCTTTAACAAAAACAAGACATTTAATGGGAATCATACAAAGATAGCGTAAAAAAAAAAATAAAAAAAGGGACCTTTTCTTGTGACGTCGATTCGAGGGTTATTATAAGTTTATCTAACTTATCTTGCATTTCTTCCAAATCTAAAATACACGTTACATTACAACCGAAGAATAAGAAAATGATTATTCTTCGGTTATTGAATTACTGATTATTAAAAAACATCCGCATTGAGCAATCATACACAGACAATTTTATGTCTGTGTATGAATAATAATAATATTATTTTAAGCATTGAATATTATTCTAGATCATTACTGCCTCTGAACTTAGCAACCTAGCTGTGAATTGTCATATCTTGGCAAAGATGGGTCAAATTAATGTCTTCCTGGACGAGCAATTTTCAAATGAATACGAAGGCCGGTATTTTTCACATATCGGGAATATTTTCATGTCAAATTGATTTACATAACTTGTTTCATCTATGACGTATATTTGACATAAGAGCAAGGTCGCGAAATGTCTTGAATATTTTAAAATATTTGTTTGTAAACGTTATCAGCCATATATTTCTATAGTAATTGTATCTGAAGTGGGTAAACAGAAATGAATTCCGCCTATATAATTAGGCTTTACTTTTGGTACATATGGAAGCTACATAAAATCTATTATAAGATCAGTGGCTAAACAATAAATGAGTACAAATAACTCAGAGACGTAGTCACGAGAGTTAACATAAATGTATATTTAAAAAATTACAATTGATAAGAGATTTGAAGACGGAATATATCAATGTATTCGAATTCATTACAACGAGTGATTAACTTATATGGAAAAAAACGGTAAAACTATAGCACATTACTAGAAACGAGCTAATCGTTGAAAACATGACATCACTTTAATGTTAAATATAAATAAAATACTCTACAATACAGCTTGCTTATTACAACTATAAAGTGAACATGTTTGCTATACTTACCGTATTCACAAAATGTTTCGATCATATCGACCGTTTTATTATTTGTAGCCTGCAGGAAAAATGGAGAAAATGGTTAAAATAGATTTTTTACCATCACAATTCGTCATGTCCATGTCCATCACATGGCGCATATTATTTGTGGCCTGTTACGTAAAAATTATAAAAATAATTAATGCATCAATTTGTGCAATAATACTTAAAACTATGCTCGTTTAACTTCAATAATAAGAAAATTAGTAGATACAAAAACGCTGCATTCGGTCTTGCAAGAAAAATTATGAACTAACAAAAATTTAAAACATTATTTATTGCACGAACGATTTTTTGTTGATCCTGTAAAGATATAGTAAACTACGCGTACAATAATAATTTCATTACACTTTTTGCAAATATTTTACACTTATTATTTTATAAACAGATCTGTGTGTAAAAGTTCTACATTTTTTGCTTTTATCATATAGTGGAATGTTTTCTTTTTGCAACAACATACAAAGTTTATGATGATATTATACATGAAACTTTTATATCAGTTTATGAAAGAAAATGACTGATTCGTATACCAACATAGAAAAGACTTGTGATATATATACGTATATAAATTAAATCATAACAAGACCTACATTATCGCAAAAGTTAAATTGAGCGATTAAAAAATTTAAATCGTCTTAAATTTCACTACTACAGAAAGCAGGCTGCTTTGATAAATCAGTAATAAAAAAATTACCTCCTCTTCATCACCTCCTCCTCCTTCTCCTGAATTATGATTGAAAGTAATTGGTTATACGCATTGAACAAAATAGTCACTGATTTTTTTAAGATTAGGTAACAAAGAGTAACTTGTTAAATCAGAACATCACACGACATTTTTTATATTACTATACATAACAATGTCTCTTTACATCATACGTTCGTGTGACATATTCCATGTTTTTGCTGTATGAAGTCCTTTTATTTGACTAGCATTTATCTAGGACATTACACTAATTCTTAGTTAAACTGTTATTCTTATTGAATGATCTTTGTTAATTTGCCACTTTAATCAAAATTTTTGTGAACTACGTATGATTTCCGTAATTTACCTTATTCAAATATTTGTCGCAAAAATTTATATGTTGGTTACACAATATAATAATTTAAACATGTAAAAAATATCACAAAAACCTGGTAACAACATTAATATATCCCATTGAACTAAAATACAGGGAGCACTACCTGTAATACAAAACCATTATAATTTTTTAAGCCGTGATTTTACCCCAGACACGCGTTTGTAGTCAATCATGTAATACTCCGAGAGAGAATCTCGAAACACAAAACACGCGTGTCTGGGGTAAAATCTCGCGTGTCTGGCGTAAGATATGTCTTTAATTATTTGCTTGAGGTTGCGTTCCATGTACTTTAGTTCAATGATATATACAAAAAATATATTTTTAAGTAACTCTCATCCTAGGACTAATGGTAATTCGCACTTAATTAGTTTGCTACTCAAATTAGTTGTTTCGAATTCGATTCTTTTTAAAAGGAAAAAACACAAGTGTTCACAGTTAAAGTTTTATCCGCATTATTTTTCGCTTGATAACATAGTATCATAAGAAACTCAATGGGATAGATATTAATTAGCAGGTATTTTAGTCAAATTATAGGGTATTGTGGGTACATACTTTAGCATCTATATTTTTTATAAAATTACTATTTGCATTTGCTTCACATGATCGACATAAAATTTGGCGCCTTTCCTAGACCATCTTTGAATCTTTGATAATAACAATATTTAACGAAAACAAATGGCGGAGATTACTGCAATGGGCGTACTTTTACGGGAATACCAAAAGAACGTAAAAAATCAGCAAAAAGATCAAGTATAATACAAAAAATGCTGCAATACTTACAAAAGAATGCAAAGCGTCGCACCGCGTTACTTTTTGAATTGTAAAATATTGCTGCAAGCAAACACAGCAGAAAGAATCACGTGATATATGTGATCGCATGAAAAGTTTGGTAACAAAGCTAAAAACACGTAATTGATCAAGATTGATCCGATTCTTTTCGTGTTGCATGTTTACATTATGACTAAACATGCAGACTAAACTAATACGATTGGAGACCACATTCTCAAGCGTCCCAAGTTAGTTCAGATCGAATTCGTTTCTGCATCACTTACAAGTGTTCACTTTAGCCCTCATACGGACTCGAATTGATTTCGAATCTATTTAAAGTGTTTGTGTGAATGGGCCCTAAAATAAAATATTTTAGTCACATAATGCACAAAACAATGAATCCTGATGGATTAAAAGTCAGCATTAACATAGAATGATTAAAGAATGCTTTTAGAGCACTCTAGTTTTATATTTTTCACAAAACTTGATTACTTTCAATCTTTAAAGTCGCTAAGCATGAGCAAGAAAAAGCTGTGGCCTTGTCAGTCTGGCAAGTTTTAGTACTGCCGTACTGCTATGTAAATTTTGGAATATTTTTATTTCTTTGTTTGTTTAGTACATTGTTCCTATTGCAATGATTGAACACAAAACAATTTATATTGCAGGATAAAATTTCTTCGTTAGCCAAAACACTGAAAAAATATACAAATAATTCAGACACGTTGACAGACACGATCATATTTTAATTTATTACAACAGATGTTCGAATGAAATAGAAAAAAACAGTAAGACTTTAATTAGCACATACTAGAAATGGCCTAGTGTTACTCTCCAACAACACTTCCTTATATAAAACTATAAAGCAAACATTTCTGCTATACTTACCGTATTCACAAAAGGTTTCGCTCATATCGAGCTCATCAATATTTGTTTCCTGTTACGTAAAAATGAAGAAAATTATAAAAATAGAATTTTTACCATACTACCAGTCTGGCGACAAGATTTCCTCGACGGAAGGGATAAGGTCTATAACGGGAGGCAGACTTACTTAACTTATGTGACAATGCACTGTATATGCAAATCTTTTTTTCAGAAATGATTTTAAAAAAATTATTATCTATCCTGGCTTTAACAAAACATTGAAACATAGTTTGCTTTTTAAATAAGAATTTACATCTAAATGAAAAATTAGCATTACATCATGGACTAGTTGTTTATAGACGCATTATTGAACGCTAATTTGGGAATTGGTTGTTTAACCATATATTCTGTTGCATGCAACCGATTGTTTTAAAGAAATTTAATTTTAAAAGAAATCAATCAAACACATCTGAATACATGAGTCTCCCATTAAATTAATGCTCCACTAACAGTCATGCTGTCTAACAGGCATTCCTGGGATATTTATACATATATATACTCAACAAACGTAACGAACTTGTCTCCTCTTGTCGCCATAGACACAAGGCACTTTTATCTAATTTGTAATCGTACACCTAGCTTTTTATGTAATTCTACCTTCAATTTTATCATAACATGATTTGAGTTTTTGTGTAGGTTTGTGGGCGACGTTAATATTGAATGGTCAAAGAGTCTGGCAGTCATTTCTGATGTTCCTTTTATGTATGTTACTATAATGATTTTTACTGTTTCGTTGTGTGTCTTGTTCGTTTTTTCGGTTTGTGTTTTGTTTTGAAGTTTGTTTATAATCTTGTTTATGAAGTTTCTAGGGAAATTGTTTCAAATAAATGTGGAGTATAAGTAGTTGCGTTCTGTTTTTTTTAGCTTCTTCGGTGTTACAATGAGTGTTTATCCTGTTAAAAAGTGTTCGAATGCAGCTTATTTTGTGTTGTGTTGGATGATAGCTGTTGAAATCGAGTATTTAGTCTTTGTGGGCGATTTTGCGGTGTACTTGTGTGTTTAGTGTACCGTCATCTGTTCTGGTTAGTAGGATGTCGAGGAAAGTAAGTTGTTTGTAAAGATCTTCGTTTTTGTGAATGTTATGTTGTTTGTTGTATTGTTTATGGTGTGTACGATTTGTTCAGTTTTGTCTTTCTTGACTATGGCAAAGATGTCGTCGACATATCTTTTACATAGTCCGATGTTTGTGTTATTTGTGACTGATTGTGTTTCGAGGTGTTGCATGACAGCTTCTGCGAAGAAAGTGGATAGTGGTGACCCCATTGGTGTGCCTGAAATTTGTCTGTAGTATGTGTTTTGGAAGGTGAATTCAGTGGAGGGGCAAATGTTGAGTAAGTCTAGGATGTCATTTTTGTCTAGTTGTGTTGTAGCTTGCCAAATTTTGTCGTTTGTTAGTAGTTCGTTTGTAATTTGTTTAGCTATTTCTAGTGGTATGGATGTGAAGATTCATACTGGTTATATATATTTTTTGGCTTCTTTGGTGTTAAAATGAGTGTTTATCCTGTTAAAAAGTGTTCGAATGCAGCTTATTTTGTGTTGTGTTGGATGATTGCTGTTGAAATTGAGTATTTGGTCTATGTGGGTGATTTTGCGGTCTACTTGTGTGTTTACTGTACCGTCAGTTGTTCTGGTTAGTAGGATGTAGAGGAAAGTAAGTTATTTGTTGTGCTCTTCGTCTTTAGTGAATGTTATGTTCTTTGTGGTATTGTTTATGGTGCGGACGATTTGTTCAGTTCTTCTGCAAGGAAAGTGGATAGTGGTGACCCCATTGGTGTGACTAAAATTTGTCTGTAATATGTGTTTTGGAAGGAGAATTCAGTGGAGAAACCATCATGCAACACCTCGAAACATAATCAGTCACAAATAACACAAACATCAGAGACTATGGAAAAGACATGTCGACGACATTTTTGCCATAGTCAAGAAAGACAAAACTGAACAAATCGTACACACCATAAACAATACAACAAACAACATAACATTCACAAAAACGAAGATCTTTACAAACAACTTACTTTCCTCGACATCCTACTAACCAGAACAGATGACGGTACACTAAACACACAAGTACACCGCAAAATCGCCCACAAAGACTAAATACTCGATTTCAACAGCAATCATCCAACACAACACAAAATAAGCTGCATTCGAACACTTTTTAACAGGATAAACACTCATTGTAAAACCGAATAAGCTAAAAAAAACAGAACGCAACTACTTATACTCCATATTTATTTAAAACAATTTCCCTAGAAACTTCATAAACAAGATTATAAAAAACTTCAAAACAAAACACAAACCGAAAAAACGAACAAGACACCCAACGAAACAGTAAAAATCATTACATTACCATACATAAAAGGAACATCAGAAATGACTGCCAGACTTCTTTGACCATTTAATATTAACGTCGCCCACAAGCCTACACAAAAACTCAAATCATCTTTTACCAAACATAAAGACAAAACAACAATCCATAATACAACCGACGTGATCTACATGATACCATGTAAAGACAGCTAAAAACAATAAATAGGACAAACATTAAAGAAAATCGAAAAAAGACTCACTGCACACAAAAACGCCATAAAACGACGAGATCCGAACTCACTACCGGCAGAACATACCCACGGAAACAACCGCACATTTCACTGGACAGAAACTGAAGTACTCGGACGCGCACAGACTAAACATGCACGCGAATTTAAACAAGCTTGGTACACTAAAGACAAAACTTTTTATACACTCCTATACATATATATATATATACAAAGTGTATATACAACGTGCCCTCCCGGCTATCACCACAATAAAATGGTGACTCCTGCACTTGGGACATAGGACGTACGGTTATTTATAACGAATATAGTGCGGTACTTATAACGAATCAGTGCTGTACTAGGAAATAATTTATACAAACATAACAGGCAATAATAAACATGCACCAGTAAAATATAACTTCAGTCATTGAGTCAATTCATTTGATTTTTTCGTGTTTAGAGAACAATTCTACACGTGGGAAACTAAAACCATAGAACTTGTTTACAGACGAAACCAAATCCACTTTGCTCCTCGACTACAATGAATTCCTAACATCATTCCCTGTGTCCATACGCTCAACGGCGATTTATCACTGGCAATAACCACAATACATGTAAAACTGTTAAATTCTCAGTCTCATTGCTAATTTGAAACTCAAGCAGCAGAGCTTTTTATTTATTTTACAAAAATTTTCTGACAAAATGCGAAAGTCAAGTTGCCAAAAGCAACCGATAGAAAACACTAATAATGTGTGCGAAGTCGTAGAGATTGCATATACAAATTTATCAAGACGTACAACATTGCAGAAATTAAACTGGGTAATGTAAAAAAATTTTGGTTACATCTTCTTACTTTTCTGAACTTTAGAAAGCAGTCTATATTGATAAATCATTTTCAAAATAATTACCTCTTCATTTCCATCGTCTTTCGTACTGCTTAATGCAGTTGAAACTGAAAGTAATGCAATGTAAGCATTAGATATAATGGTCAGTGATGAAAGTTAATTACGTTTTAAGATTGGGTAATATAATATGAACCATACTCCGAATAAAAGACTCATGCTTAACTCAATATTTGAGAAAGAAAAAAGGGATTTTATCTGTAAAGTAATATTTTGATATTGTTACAAATTCATCAACAGACTATATTTACAAGCCAACAGAAGCTCTACTTAAGTGTGGGTTAAATGATTTTAGCGGAAGTGCGGGAATGTGTGTTGGATAGGAGGTATTAGTTAATTGAGGCAGTGAAAGCAAATAGTGGCAGCTCTTTGCTGGCTTTAAGCCTATTATTAAGTTTTGCTTTGTGTGATTTAATAAAGAGTGCTTCCATTAGTAAAGTCGGTTTCTGTTTAAGTAAGTAAGAGGAACATATTTTATAATTGTTAAGTACGAGTTAGGTAATGTTTGAATTAGGTTTTTCAAAAAGTGTTTTATGATCAAGTGTGCTGTTGTTGTGATATGTAATGTTCTGCACTTTTTGGCTTTCTAAGAAGTGATCTACAATAGTAAGGGTACAATAGTCTCATAAAGTCGGGTTTTATGGCATCTCTCATTTTTACCAATGTAAGATTTGTTACAACCGGGGAAGTAACTCGACATTAAAACGAGACAGTGGTGAGATTTTGTTTTTGTTGGAAGTAAAAAAAGCGACTTTGTTGTGTCAAAAAAAATAATAAATTAAACTGGTTTGATGAGACATTTACGAAATTTTTTAAGACAGTTATAAATAATTTTTGTGCCTTATGAGCCTTGATAAGGTATCCAAAATTTTGGTACGTTTTTGTTGATGGTTGGAGATTGAGAGAAATCATTGGATGAACTAGTTAGATTGTATTTGTGTTAAAGTTTGTTAATAATTGACTTCAACAGTTGTCGTTAATTTTTTATCGTCTCCATAAACAATAGGTAGGTAATTACGCATACGTGAATATTTTAAGCTGTGGTTTCATCCATCGTTTTCAAGCTATTTTCAAACTAAGCCTGGGTTGAAATTGCTCCATGTTATTGTCCTCTTAAAATCATAAAAAACTTACATGATGGCTCTTTCAACAATTGAGGCTCATTTTCTTCAGTCATGTTTCCTGTAATCAAGAAATAGACAAAAATAAGGCCTAAATGTGTGTTTCTTGATATCAAAATCAAACTTAGGCTTTAATAGTCCATAGAAAACAAATATTTATCTTCTTCACATGTAATTATTATATCTCTTTTGACATTTACTCAACTGAAAGGAAACATGTGTTTATTAGTTGACTTACTTACTTAAATATCTATAGTAGCGTAATTTCAGGCTACTCCAAGTTCTTCCCTCAATCATCTAGAAAAATTTAGATCAGACAAATGATATCAAAGTGCTGATCCCATTTTACGAAATAATCGTCAATGCATTACATTTTCTTCAGCCATTTTCTTCCAAAAGCTTTTGCCGTACTCTTTTCTTTTATTTTCTTTTAGGTACGACAACAACTTTCTATCTTCATCTTTTGTGTAAAACCTTAAAAAAATAAATTAAGTTTTGACTCCATTTATGATCGTAACAATTTGCTAAATAATTTAATATTTAAATAATTACTTAACACCCAACAGTCGAGTGAATAAATGATCATTCAAAATGAATAAGTGACAAAAACCATAGATGTATTGAAAAATGTGCATTGACTAGGTTGATTTTTTGTTCCATGTAATCGTAAAAGTCTTCCCAAGGAAATAATACAATGTCCGTGGTGAATTTTCATTTCATGTAATCGGTCCCATCCCCTGGGTCAATTTCGTTGCGCCGTCACTTTGGTAAGAATACAGTGAATTAATGAAGTAAGAATATTTTAGCATAGCCATACAGAAGTCAACTGCATAAATCACGATTATTAAAGTTTGTACTTATTAATATAACTTAGATACTTCAGGGACTTGTTGTACCAAAGCCGTTTACAATAAACGACGTTTAGCCGTCATCCAACGAGTATATTCTTAATCCGACAGATAGTAAAACAATGGTTAAAACTGCGGTGCATGCACGCCTTTTATCGTAGCGTTTAGCTAACTGAGGCAGGTTGTATGAAATGCGTTTAACTCGTTAACCGACGTTTAAATCGCCTTCCATGAAGAGCAAAAAAAGCAAAGAAACTTTAGCCATTAGTTATGACTTGTTTCTTTGTTGTAAAATCCGTATTAAGTCAGCGAAAGATAACAAATAATAATAATAATAATAATAATAACAATAATATATTTAATAATAATAGTAATAACCAGAGGGAACCATTGATCATAGGCTTTGATACTTTCTCTTAGAATGTAAAACTTGGTGTTTTAAAATGCGTGTTTTAAAAGAATAAAAATAATAAAAAAAGAATGTTAATAATAATGATAACAATAAAGAAAGATCAAAACAATAAGAACAATACGAATGTAATAATAAATAAAATTGTTATTTTTCCCCCAAACCACCTATTATCAGCATGCCCAAGAACCTCGTATATTTCTCCCTTCCCTACACAGGCATACAGTCTTTCCAAAATACGCACCAAACTTAACCGCCTATGCAAAGCTGTCTTCCCTCACGTAAGGATTACATTTGTTTTCCGTCCTTTTACACAAATTTCCTACTTTTTTCTCTTGAAGGATAATATTCCTAAGTTCCTAAAATCTGGTGTTGTTTATCTCTTTATGTGTCGACGCTGCAACGCGTCGTATGTTGGTCAAACCACACGCCATCTTTACATTAGAATCTCAGAGCAGCTGGGGATTTCGCCCCTGACAGGAAAACAGCTTAATTCTCTGCAACATCCAGCATCTTATCACACATCAACATATCAGGTCACACAGCTGCCTTTGACGACTTTACTATTATCTCATCTTCCCCCTACACTCCTGACTTAATGATCCATGAAAGCCTCCTGATCTCAAATTTAATACATGGACTGAATATCCAAAGCAGTTCCATCCACTCGAACTTTTGTAAAACGTAGTGGATGTTTTACCAATTTGTCCTAATTTAATATACTTTTTAATACAAAATCACAGTTTTCGCGTTTTTATTCAATTTAAAAATTTCCGATTAAGGAAAAATTTTCATGAGATGTAAAGGAAAACAGATAGAGAGTTTTAACCATAAAGCTCTGTTTTCTTGGCTTTGCAACTACGTAATTTGAAAATATTATGATGCTTGCGATAACATTCCGAAACAACATGTTGTTAAATACGTAAATTGTAGCAACCTTCCATGAACGTCACTACAGATAATATTTTGGTGGTACTATTAGGATTCTGTAATACTTCCACATATTTTAAGACGCATAGAATCATATAATCGCCAGTTTGGTTTAAAACAGGGGTCTCCAAACTTTACAGCCATAGGGCCACATGAACTTTCATCCAGCATGTTGAGGGTCGACGAACCGCATACCGCTGGTCAAAGAGCGGATATTTTAATAAAACGAAGTACATAACACAAGCTTCATTATTTAAGAAAATAGCTCCTTCCTTAGCTCAAAAACCCTTGAAAGCACTTTTCCACAACTTAGCCATCTTACTGCAGTGTAATATGGCATGTCAACAGACTCTGTCTCAGTAGGAAGTTGGGACAAAAATTGACGTAAGCCACTCTTGCTAGTTGGCTTGCGTCATAACGTGAACTTTCTGCACAAAGTTTGTTTTGTTTAATAATATTATTATATTTTCTTTAGTGTCTCTGCGGGCCGGATTGAGAGGCCCAACGGGCCGCATCTGGCCCGCGGGCCGTAGTTTGGAGACCCCTGGTTTAAAACAATGCAGGTCGACTTTGTACCATGTCAATTTTCTGCCATTAAAAAAAAAGGCAAGAAGTCAAAATTTTTAAGATTACAGATCTTTGCCGGTCATTCTGTCTCTTTCATAAAAATTTTGCTGGAATCGAAAGTTTGTAGAACGGTTAAATACACAAAAACTGTGATTTTGTAATAGAAAATTCTAGTAAAGTGGGACCGAAGGTCATAAGCAAATAAGCCAACTTCAGATTTTAATTTTCGTGCTATATTTATACACGGGATGCCTTATCCAGTGTAATATACATATCAGAGAGAACACTCAAATATAATGAGCAGGGAGCAGATCATTGAGTTCTATAAGACCTGGAGGGGAAACGTCAACAAAATTAGTATAAATTATTAGCGCGCGGCCGCGTGGTCAAAAACATGGCGGATTTTGGTGGTCAAAGTCAGCGGAGAGACGCGGGCTCATGAAATAAAATTTTTGTCGCCCACCCTGATTTGACCACCACGATTGCGAGTATAGAAAATATCAAAACTATTTATTTTCCTAACATAAACACTTTTTTAAAACTTTATTTATTAAACTGCCAACTTTTGTGGTTTGCGGATGCTGAAATAGCGACAGAAAAGGGAACATTTCTTGACTCCGGTAAGTAGCACAATATTAGTTTTACTGTTTTGTTTTTAACACGATACTTGAAGAGTGTTTCTACTACTAAGTTTTAAGTTAAAGTTATTTTGGTCCAGTCTTGTTTGTTCTTCACTTAATCGCTCGCCAGACGTGGCGAAGCTGTCAATTTTTATCGAGTTTTGCATCCATCTTGTATCATCATCAAGGCATCAAGCTAAACTCTCCTGAATTTGAATTTGATTTGAATTGAGTTTACCTCCCAAAAATGGGGCATAATTTGTTCATGTTTTTTTTTGAAAAGATGAAGGGAAAGTTTACAGCAGAGTTTTGTTGAAAGTGAATGCAGTGCCATGCAAAATTAAGGAGAACTATGGTATATGTTGTATAATAAAAATAACTATTAAACTGTTTGCCTGCTCAATTTGACTGACTGTATAGTGTAGACAATTATAATGAGATTGGAAAGTTGGATTTATGCTAACAATTTTAAAGCACTACTTAGCGTTTCTGTAAATGAAATATTTATTGTTATAGTAAACAGGTTACTACTTCAAAACCAAGATAAAAGTAGTGTGTTGAACAATGTGCTAAGATTTGTTTCTACCTTGAAATTTTTGTTCAACAGTAGCTTATGATTATACCATTAATATGCATGAAAAATTAAACATATCATTGTCTCATCTCATTAAATCCATAATTGGTATGATTCCAGGTGATCCACAAATTCACATCGGATGCATTGGTTACAATGAACTTGAATGTAGAGGAAGCAAAAATAGATGGCAAAGAAATTCTTTGTGTCTTATGAAGAATTAGTAGAAATCAATAAAAAGAATTCTTTAAACAAATTGTAAACAAATTTAAATTTGCTCATGGTCAAGCAACCTAGTCAAAGAAGCAAAGTCTGTCTTCAACATGCGACCTTTCCAATTATTTAGTTTCTTTGTCCAAAATACTATTTTTGAGAAACTTGATTTGTAAGTCATTCATTGATATTTTTTACCAAGAGATAAAAGGAACTAATTCAAAGGCTTGATGTAAAATACAAAGATTTAACAAGTTGTTTATCATTTAATTCCCAAATGTTAGTTTGTACATATAAATAATTAGTATTGGTAGCTGTAAGTTGTTTAAGCAAAACAGATGAGTAGTAGTGCTCGAAGGGGTTAGCATTTTTGAAAAATTATATCTTGTTCATGACATATATTACACAATTCCAAAAAACTGTAAGTAATGCACAATAATATCTATAGAACTTGATAAATTTCTTCACCTACACTGTCAAGTAACTATTTTACCTTCATGCAGCAATAGACAGTGTTTTTGTCAGAGAAACCAATGCACTTTAGTTTCCAAGTTTGTAATTTCAATGGAAAATTAATGTAGTTCTGTTCAGTAAAAGATCCAAGATTCTGCCAAGATGTTTACAAAATACAAATTACCAAGCAACAGTGTCATGGTGTTTTGAATTTTTTCTTTTTTGTAGCTCTTCTAGTTCAACATACTTTCTTTATGAGTTTTCAGTAGATTTATCAGGTAATGACAATACACTTATGATACTTATCCATGGTAAATTTTTAGTTGACTTATGTCGTAGGACTGAAGCAAACATTTTCTCGCTTCCTTAGGAGCATTTTTAAACAGATTTATCCATTTGAAGCAAGAAAAATAGGTGCACCAAACGG